TATGTAAAACGCTCCACAACTTCCAGTACCTCTCCCTGGATTGTAAGGGGCGTGTTCAGTGACTGTACGTCTACAAGCATGACCTTACACTTTGTGGGTGCAAAGTGCATATCAAAGGACGGGATGACTTTGGTCAGTTCATCCAAGAATACTTGCGCCTTCTCCGTCTCTTCGAACATGAGAACGATGTCGTCTGCATATTCCAGATCGACAAGGTTTTCTTCATTGGCTATTTGAACACCAGGGTTTTGGAGACCCTCCAGCTTTCGTCTCATTATTTCATCGATCACAAAGTTAAAAAGGAATGGAGAGAGTGGGCATCCCTGACGGACACCGCTTTGTGTGCGGAAGCTTTTGGAGAGCTCTCCGTACACTCTCACACGTCCGGAAGTCTTTTTTTCACTTTGAGGCCTTAAATATAATTAAATGTACTTTGTCGTTGTAGGGCGGTGAAGCATTAGTGTTGATGATGACGATTAAGTGTTTGCCTCTGGCTGTGAGACTTGGCCTATTCGAGCAGCGGACCTGAGACGTTTTCAGGTGTTCGACAGCCGTTGTCTTCGAACCACAGATCCAGGCGGTTAAAAAGTGCGTTTTCGGTTGTGTAACGGGTACTTTCATTGAAGATTGTGTCCAGCACCTGAAGCTGCGTTGGTTGGGACATGTGTTACTAATGCTTACCATCGTTTGCTGAAGAGAGTGCTGTTTTCCATGCCCAACTCAGAGTGGCCTAAACAGACAGGTGGCCAACCCTTGACTTGGCAGAGGAGTATGAAGGAGATCACGAGACGCCGGGGTGCTGTCAGTGCTACTCGCCTTCCAGGATGGAGACCGCGTGATCCTCACTGTGCCTGGTTGGAGACACTACAAGATATGGCTGCCAACCGATGTCAGTGGCCTTCTTGTCAGTTTCTATCCAGATTGCCTGAGTGAATGTCTGGAGGTGTAGGCACCTCGGAATGATTGTGTTACGCTAGCACTAAGTCCCTCCCCCATCCACCTTTGCTCTTTTCCTTACAATAAGGCTTTCGAATAAATCATGGTTGTATGGCAGTGAAGCATCGGTGTTGAACACTGCTGTCATGCTGCGCAGCATCATCCATGGTAGCTCAATGAGTTGAGCACGTTCCGTTCCTACTTCTGCTGGCTGTGGTCTTTTCGTTCGAATGTAATAGTATGATTGTTGAGCTGTTCGTTCAGCTTTGCAAACATCATCCAATACCTAGAGATATTATTAAAACTTTACATTTTTCGTTGTAATTTTACAGACATGGAATATCTCGTTGAGGAGGTCGAGAACGAAACGGAGTTCATTGGGAACAGTCTTCTCGTGTTGCAGCACCGTCTCAACCTGGCCAGAGCAACAGCTCAAGTTCTGGCTGCTGAATTGGAGACCGTGGTCCCCGGTAAAGCCTTGGAACTGTTGCAGCAGGCCAATTGGTTTCCGTTTGAAGAAGCCAGTCCCGGGGATGAACAGTCTCTCTGTGGTGTCGCAACCGAGTTTGATGATTATGATGATAAGCACCATTCATGTGATGCGGTTCAGTCAACCCACGTTGAAACTTCTTGCAGGGGTCAGTCACCAAATCACTCTGTGGATGAACCCTCGGTTTCAGCTGTGGATTCTGTTCATGAACTAACCAATCATTCCGCGAAACGGAGGAAAGATTCCTTCTCAGGGAACACAGATTGCAATCACATTGTGTCTGACTCTCCTGAGGCCCATCTTTTGCCAACCAAGCGAAGTCGTACTCTCGAACACCAAATGACAACCCCTCACGCACAATCCCATCTTAGCCCTGAAAACCGACCCACTATCCCTGTTGATGGTCCTCAGCGGACGTTTACATCTAGTCATGACTGTGATGCTGCGAAGGAAGCATATTCTTTACGGACTTCAGAGTTATGCGTTGACTCTGCCGCCCCATCCTCCCCATCTGCTACCACCCTGAACCGTAATCAACACTCTTGTCCAATGTCATCTGTACCAAGCCCTCGAAAACATTCGAAGCAGTCACTCAGCGACCCATTACATGACACTGATGTGCCATCAAACGGCCGAACAGCTGGCGTGAGAGACTTGGCCTAAGTGCTCCCCCCCACTATTGTACAGATGCATGCAAAGATCGCCGTTTCACTCGCGCTCCCCTCTGTCTTGGACGTTCAGCAGACAAGTACTAGCCATTGTTTCCCCGAAAATTTAACCTTTATTGGTTTTCCAATTGTCCTCCACTAATCTATGCGTTTTACTTCCCAATGTTCCTGTGTATATGATGATGCATTTGTCTTTGAATAGTGTGATAATTTCTCATTGCCCTTCTGTGGTTTGGGAATTCCTCAAGGCCTGTTATTGGAACCGTCGTTTAGCCCTTGTTGAGTAAGCTCAGTGCTTGAGCCGTAAACTACTGACTGGAAGGTTCGTTGTTCGAATTCAACCCCAAGCATCTCGACTGCTTCTGTGCGGGCTGGGCTTGTATCTCAGCCCTTGTGCTTCCTTCGGGGTTGGCATGGCAGCTGGGCGCCGAAGGCGTATTAAAACCGAACGTCTATTACCGCATATCGAGCCTAATGGGTTGTTCACATTCATATCGGCCAACCATGTGTCTGCGAGCTTCCTGACTGGTGGTCTTTACCAGCGGGCTTCAACGGACGCTTAATGGTGGTTCTGTGACGCTTGGTAGAATATTTTCCATTTTCATACCTATGATGATGACGCATCTAAATGAAATAGCCCTAAATCGGTAAGGCCCCACCTCTATACTCATCATCATCATCATGGACAGCATGACATCAGTGGTCAGCAGTGATGCTTCGCTGCCGTACAACCATGATTTATTTGAAAGACTTATGGTGACGAAAAGAGTAAAGGGGACGGGTAAGGGACTTAGTGCTACCTAACTACAGTCATTCCGAGGTGCCTACACCTCCAGACATTCGTTCAGGCAATCTGGGTAGGAACTGACAACAACGCCATTCACATAGATTAGCAGCCATAACTTGCAGCGTCTCCATCTGGGCCCAGTCGGAATCACGCGGTCCCCATCCTGGAAGGCGAGTAGCACCGACTGCACCCATGCATTTCGTAATCTCTCATACCCGTCTGCCAGGTCAAGGGTTAGCCGCTACTCTGAATCGGTCATGGAAAGCCACTCTTCGGCAAACGTTGGCTAGGCATACGTAGCACATGCCCAACCAACACAGCTTCCGGTGCTGACCACATTCCCCAATGGAACCCCTGTTGCCCAACCGAAAGTTCGCTTTCTAGATGCCTCAATGGATTATCGGGCACTAATCTACATGGGCTATGAACCGGAGACAACAGTTATCGAACATCTGAAGGCGTCTCAGTTTCGCTGCACGAACGATCCAAGTCTCACAGCTCTACAGCAGAAAACAGCCGTCACGGTGGTCTGAATCACGTTTCTTGAAATTCATAGGTGCCTCAAATCAGCAAATGCGACCCGAGCCTTGCAGATCCTTGCTTTGACCTCATCTGCCACGTTACGATCAGAACTAACACAACTTTGAAGGCCTTTGAGCCTGACCGCAAAGGTGTGGTGTTTGGCTGTAAATGCGAGTACACTGTCATTTTCATGCGACTCGTCGCTACATATGTTCCAACGCCCAACCTGGAGGACCAGGAGATCTTGTTCGTCAAACCTGTAACCATTGGCCAACCTGATATGAGAGACTGCAGCGTCGCGCGGACACACCGTCACACCACGGTAATGTCCAGTCTCCTCGTGACGGTTTTATTTACAACACAAGAACAGCATCGTTACATTTGGGAGTCTCGGTCCAAATTCGGTTCGAGCGTCAAGTGGGGCATAATACGGAGTGCCTAGAGTAAAAAATCACACACCGATGTATGTATGTAATCGCTCCTCGAAAGGCACGATTTAGTGTGAAAAACCTGTGAAGTAAGACCACCGTCGATCACTTTACCACGCGCTGGGTAGTACTGCCCGGCAACCAAACACTGTCTATTTTGGGGTGATTTTGACATTCGATTTGGTGATTCTGAAGTAGGGATTTGGGATTTTAGGCATTACCAAATGCCAGAGCGTACGTCAGGATTTATCAAAACGCTTGTCGACGAATGAGCGTGCTTGGATTGCGCCACGTGTCCGTCGACCGTTACCAGATGAGTTCGGAGGAATTGTTGATCGCTTATTGATCCACAGTGAAGATGTAGTTGATGGTGGATTTGTTAAATGAATGTGTCCTACGCTTCGGCCACCGACGTTAACTTCTAAGAAGGAAGAACTGTGGTCTTAAAAATTTGTTACGGTACTATAACGTGTTATGACTGGTGCAAAACTCACGTGCCCTACCGATTGTACGGGTGGATGTATCCTAGTCGTGTTCAGGCTTCATATTTCACCTTGAAACTGAATTGTCTCACGTGTGGCCTGTTGTGTTTGGGTCATCTTTGGGAAATTGGGTTGGTGGGACCCAATGACAGGTAAGTCAACCAGACCTGTTAAGTCATCACGTGAATAGCCCCTAATTCAGCACAGCACTTCAGTGCATTTGTCCAGATTTGGCTGCAGTATATGCACATTATGAAAGTCTACCCAAGGGTCTCCAGTTAATGCATGGAATGGGACAGCTCAGTTACAATCCGACTCCGTTTACTCCATCACTTTTTGGAGCAGTCTAAGAGTGTCATTCATGCCCATTGATTCGAACCCTTGACTGTCTGCCAAATTCCCCAATGTAAACAGTCACAAACGATCTGGTGAACACAGTTGCTATAGTCATCAGAACTGAGCGGTTGTTTCGTACAAACTAGTCGTGTTTACTTGGAAGGTGGTACGAATGTTGAAGCCGGTATGTGCGCAGCGGACGATTTCATACATTTGCGAAGTCCGGTTGGTTCAACCTTCGTGCTGGCTAGTTTGCGTGGCTGAAGCGTATGTTCGACAAAACTTGCTGGGTACGCAATCTCTCTCGGCGTACTTTTAGCGTGGATGTTCTCTTTCAGACCAAGCGGCCTTACTATACTTCGTACGCGGTCAGCGAAATTGAACTATCTCTGAACTATTCAATGGAATTATCGATCTGATTGCGTCGGTTTGTGGTGGACTGTGATGTCACAGAGATTGCAGTGCTAAGACACTTTAACATCAAGCGAGGCAGTCGTTCGGTTACGGGTCTCATTCACAACACTGTTGAAATATGGTGAAATTTCATTCACATGACACCATCAAAGTTCCTCTGCCAAACTACCTGCCCATGGTCAAACGTGTCTAACGTTCAAGTTGTGCTAAGAGCGGGCTGGCTAAAGGAGGAAACAGGCGAATCAGTTGTTTGTTGAAAAATCTGGCTATTAAGTGCGAGTGCAAGAGACCGCAAGCATATTTACGGACATTTTACGATCTTCAATAGCGACTTCCATCTTCCGGTTGTCCAGCCACTTCTAACAAAGACAAGAGAGTTCAAGTAGAACATAAGGTTGACGGAAACTCGGGTATTGCGCCTAGCTGACGGGCCGCAAGAAGGGCGGAACTGACCGTGGGCTGTTGAAGAGTTTTCAGCGACCTTGTGAATAGTTTTGTGAAAAGACAACAGGCACTGAGATAATCGAGTTCTGAAAATAAGAAGGATAGCTTCTAACGAGACACAGGTTGGCGAGAAGCATTATTCTTCTCAGTGAACGTGGAAATTTGTTTAATTTGTCACCTGGGTTGGTGGCACGGAAACAATAGTCGCACACTGTGGAATGACTCGCCCTGTTATGCGATAAGGAGAAGGGAATCATCATCTCTAAAGTGTATGTAGCCCCGATCTTAACCTTTTTCACGTGGTTTCTGCTACCATATAAATTTGTGATGTATTAGCCAAGATGAACAATCACAGAAAACAAACTTTGTTCGCTACCTTCTTCGTTTCCATGACTACCACGGGTATATTCAGCCGCTTGAGACAATCCAAAGGCCCATGCATGCTAAAGGAACTTCAGGGGTATCTGAGGTACAGCGCGAAACTCGCGGAAGCCAGGACAAAGCTACGAAACCTCAATCAGTGTACACAACAGAATCAGTTCCCAACTTTTTATTCACGAATACTACACAGAAACCGAATCAATCCAGCTGCCACTGCACTAAGCCGCCACGCACACAATGAATGTGACACGATACAAGAGAATATTCGGGAACTAGAACGTAAACAAGCCCAATATGCAGGGGTACTAGAAACGCTGACGATATCCGATGGCTTAGACTTCAACGCACATGTTCGACTCATTATTGCCAAACGGACGGACGCCGGGGAAAAGAAACTCGTCAGCCAGCTTAATCCATTGACACCATGCACCAAGTTTCCAACAAATCCAGAAAGGTACGTGCACAATTTTTCTTCGGTAATGCTGGACACCACCCTTTTGGAAGCGTTGTCACTAGGTCCAAAATTTTGTTGTCCCAGTCGTAGAAACTGTCAGCTCGAGTTTGAAGTCCAATTTGAGAATCTATATGACCAGCTATCCGTGCTAGTACCTTCCTCTGAACTGAGTGTAGAACAACTGAAATCGACGCTAGGCAATTCGTGTTACAAGTACCTCAGCTACAAACCCAGACCCAAACAACTTTTAACAGAGGAACATTTCGAGACTCTGAAATGTTGACAACAAAACGACCAAGTTTTACCGTTCAAGCCAGACAAAGGCTCGGCAACTGTCTTGATGAATAAATCCGACTACATTGATAAGATGACTACCATTCAGACAGATCCAAATTTAAGAAAATGGGATCCAAGAAAGACAAGACGCATGTGATTGAAAAAGCGGTGTCCAAAATATTAAGACGTCTTAAACAATCCGGAAGCATTGACACCATAACCTTCGAGCGTATCCGCCCCACTGGCACAACAATCCCTCGGCTCTAAGGTCTCCCGAAGGTGCACAAACCGGGCCTACCTCTCAGGCCATCCTCGATATGTCTAATGCTCCTTATCATGCTTTGGCTAAAATGGCTTGTCAGTCTATTAGAACCAATCAGGAGAGAAGTATCGACATACAGCTTAAGAGTCAGTTTTGATTTCGTCGATCAGATTAGAGGTCTGAAGGTTGATAAACACTTCATGTTCTCCCTGGACGTCGAGTCATTGTTTACCAACATACCACTCACTGAGACAATAGACTATGTTTGTGACTTGAGTGCAACGGTTGGGATTTTGGAGTTCCCATCTCGGATCTTAAGGAACTCCTGCTCCTTTGTACGTACAATGTTCAGTTTACTTTCAACAATCAAATTTATCGACAGAAGGACGGGGGTCCCCTCTAGGTCCCATATTGGTAGACTTTTTCACGACCAAGCTAGAGACTCAAAAATTAGAAGCACTCATTGGACGGTTAACATTATATCGCCGCTACGTGGACGACATTTTCGTTCTTGCCGATGAAAACATCAGCACAGCAGACGTACTAAACAGTTTCAATTCAGTCCATGCTAATATCAAGGTTATTATCGAATCAGAACAGAACGGACAGTTAAGTTTCCTCGATGTCAATGTTAAAAAGAAAACTGACGGGACCATAGGACGCAAGGTCCACAGAAAGCAAACGTGGAAAGGTCAGTATATTCACTTTGATAGCTTCGTTCCGTTGCAACAAAATCGCAACCTAATTATATGCCTGGCCGAGAGAGCAATGAAGATATGCTCACCAGACTGCTTAGAAGAGGAACTAAAGTTCTTGGGACGCACATTCCTGCAAAACAGATATCCTGAAAGGTTCGTACTCAAGACTATGGAAGCCGTTAAGCCCAAACCTTCACAATGTTCTGTTAGGAAGAAGCCCGTATACATTAGGCTTCCATTCAAAGGTGACTATGTCGCGCAACTAATCACCAAAAGGCTTAGAAACTCCGTTGATACGACATACTTGACCGCTAATTTATGTATGAGCTCCAACTCCTAGCTCCACTATCAAATTCTGCTTGAAGGACAAATTGCCACGTTCTACCACCAGCTTTTGTGTGTACTCATTCGTATGCTCGTGCCGAGCATCATACGTTGGTCGTACGACAAGGCGTTTGTCGGACAGAATACGAGAACACAATCCCGTATCTCTGAGTGTTAGTGGGAAGAAAACAAGCTCAAGCGCGATTGCATCACATTTGGCCGAAACCTGTCATGTCATAGACAAGGAGCAAGCCTTCACCATCATATACCGGGTACTTCTGAACCGATCACAACTGGTACGATCCAAACTACTATCGATCGCAGAGGCAATTGGAATCCGACTGCTGGATCCGCAACCTTGCATCCAAAAGAAACTTGTGCGACCTCTGAACTTGAACTGGCCTACGAAACATCACACAAGTCTGTCTGACATTGACGTCACATACCTGATTCCGTGACCCATTGACCTATCACTCATCCAACCCCCCTTCCTTTGATTTCTATTTCTCTAAAGTGTATGTAGCCCCGATCTTAACCCTTTTCACGTGGTTTCTGCTACCATATAAATTTGTGATGTATTAGCCAAGATGAACAATCACAGAAAACAAACTTTGTTCGCTACCTTCGTGTATCGTCAAACTATAGCATTTGTAGGAATTCTCTCGCTTGCTATACCCATCGACAGTTGTCACGAGTTCATTGGGGAATATGGACAGATCAGGAACAAATTACATTTTCGATGGTCCAATAGTTTACATCATTCAATTCAACAGAGATAGCTCAAGTGGTTAAATCGCGAATTTACTGACCAATAGTTTCATTCAATTCAACAGAGATAGCTCAAGTGGTTAAATCGCGAATTTACTGACCATAAGGTCCGTGGTTCGAACCCGACCTCCCTCTCTCGACTTCCCCCGCCTAGGCTTCGGCAGCCTGGCAGTATCCCAGCCTTCGTGCTTCTTTCGAGTGGCATGGCAGCTAGGTACCGGAAAGGTGTTACAGACGAACGATTCATTTTGTTTTAGCTCAACCACTGTGCTTGCATCTTAACTTCTTGTTCCTGATACAAAGAAAAAGTAGTCCTAGTTGTGCCTATTTGTCGTGCTGTCCGAAGGGAGCGGTAAGGATGAAATAGATGAGATACTTTCAGGTTGCTCAAGTCTTGATGCAGAGGTTTGGTTCCGATCGCAGACCTTCCGGTCAGTAAGTTCGCCCCCTAACCACTGAGCCTCCTCGGCTCAGTAGTGTGTTGAAATATCGCCTATCGAGACGAGTATTATTCTCGGACCATTCTCGGGTACTATTCTCCGAATAGCGCTAGGTGCAAGGTGGAAAACTTTTGACTCTGCAAAAGGGTGTGAAACAGATCTTGAAGAGTTTGTTTTTGGTACCGTTCGCGTTCCAGGGTGGGATTCCAATAAATCTCTTGCTCTTGACTTGAGACATTGCAAGAGACGATGACCCGTCATGACACTTGAGTGAACAAAGGAATCCGCTTATTTCCGAAACCGTCGGGGGTTCCAGGTTCACTACGTGGGGCTGCGTTGCAGGTCAGAAATCCGGGCTGAACCACAGCGGATGGGTTGTTGTTAAGTCATTCAAACCAACGATTCGTCTATTAGTCTTTTTTAGAGATAAGTAATCCAGTGCTCTCGGTGATTGTTTCGCTCATCGGATGCCTGTTTGGGCCTGGTGCGCGCATCTGTTGGAACAACTTCCGTACATACCCAGAGTGTCATCTGACCTTCTCACTTTCTGAACCCACTAGGTTTATTGATCATTCGCGGATTCTTTTTCTCATTTGAGATCTGACAGTTCGTTTAGGTGCATTGAACTCTCGACCAGTAGGACTATGTGCGGAGCTTGGTGATCCAGTGCTTGGATCTAGTTGACTTTGTGGTTCCACAAGCGGAGTGCCAAGCATCTTACAGGGTTACCGACAGTATCTTTTAGTAGGAGTTAACATCACAAGGCGCCAGTAGGGAAATCAGTGGGTGGACTTGATAGTCGTGCTTCGCATCAGAGTCTGAGAGTTTCTCAATGACTAGTACTAGTGCAGTTAAGATCAGGCGTTCCTCATCCTGGTAGGCGAGTAGCGCCGACAGCACCCAAACGCTTCTTATCCCTCTACCAGGTGAAGGGCTGACCACCTGTCTGGTTCCGGCACTCTAATTTGAGCATGAAAAAACAGCAGTTGCTCCGGCTAACGATGGTTAGGCATACACAACACATCTCCCAACCAAAGCTGTCCTGTAAACCTTGTTCAATGGGAGTCCCTGTTGCACAACCGAAAATTCGCTTTTTAATTGTCTCGTTACGAATTAGCCGAGACCAACCCACACAAGCTATGGTCCTGAGACAACTGTTGTTGGACACCTGAAGACGTCTCAGTTCCGCCGCTTGAACAGGCCAAGTCTCACATCCATAAAACAACCATCCATCACTTCACTTGTTTTGTATCTTGGCACTGCGTACATCTCACCCATCTGTGGTCTATAATGAAAGAAAAGAAAGAGAAAGCGTTCAGCTGTAGCACCCTTCCGGTATCTAACTGCCATGCTGCTCGAAGGAAGCACGGGGGCTGGGATACTGCCAGGTTGCCCAAGCCTAGACAAGGGAAGTCGAGAGGCAGAGGTCGGGTTCGAACCACGGACCTTCCGGTTAGTAAGCGCGCGCTCTAACCACTTGGGTCATCCCGCCTCTTAATGCATTACAGAGGCGTAAAATCAGCACAGTCATCATAACCAACCCAACGAAAATAAATGTCCCGTAAACGGCGTTATTATCGGCAATCAACCTGGCAAGGGCAATATTGTGTAGAACATGGAAAATTGCGTGCTGATATGGACCAGTTTTCGCTTAAACAATGGTCTGAATGTGACAATGAAAAGGGCGAGGAAATCACATCAACGGTCCGAGGTGCTCGGCTAACTCAAACATGGTTAGCATGGATTTGGGTCAGTCAAAATAACCGGCTCAGCAAAAAAGGTCGTCCTAAAAATCAAACTAGATGAGCTAATCAGTAGAAAAAATCAATGACGGTAATGAAACACACACAGTGGGCGATAGATACTAAGTGGTAGGTAGGAATTCGCGTAAAAAAGTATCCAAACAATAAAGGCACAAATTAAGCAAAAAGATAGGTGCATGTGTACAAAGTTTACAGAGACAGTGGTGAAGTCGACAACTTGGAATTCGCAGAATCACTCGGCGAAATGCACAGGACGGGCGGAGTTATAAACAGTTGGCACTGGATTAGGAAGAGAGAACAAACGGGTGAACGAAGGACAGCCGAAGAGAGCGACAAACAAAACGGTGCGGGAGGGGGTAGATTACACCACAAACGATAGAGGCACATTAGGAGGCAGGAGAGACTGCCACCGTGTGACCTCCGTTATTGTCTGACTTGTTCCAAGCTTTCGGACGGTTACGTACCGCCCCGCCTCCACCAACCCCGCCATAATAACGCCTACGTCGGTTTCGCCCACCTCGACCGCGTCCCCTAGCGGTGTGCTGCGCAGCGGGTGGAACACCCGGATTTGTATTAGGACAGCTTTGTATTCCATATGCTGGACGCGCACGATGACACCGTCCACGTCGTCCCTGGGTGTGTACATTCAACGTTGTCTGGCATTGTTCACTGGGCGTATTCGAAATCTAACAGCAGAAATGAGGAAGTCAGAGGGACAAGGGTAGGTGGATTGCTTGGAAAATAACGATCAGCCGAGAGGAAGAAAACTAGGTGTACTGATGTAACAGACTACTCACAAGGTTGCTGAAAACTCCCCATCATCGTAAAGACTAAATTGGTATTTAAATAAGTGTACTGACTCTGCTCTTATCTCGGCTGCTCTGATTGGCCGACGGTGTGGCCCTTACAGCCAATCATGATCCACTAACAGACGGCAGATGAGAGCGGCTCAACAGTTGGTCCACTAAGGCAGCCAAAAGTTGAGTTGATGAAAGGGCAAACACCCTTCAGTACGAGGTGGTGCACTAGCGAACACGACCTAAGCGGTTACAAGCTATTAGACACGAAAGTAAATATCTCATCTGCACAGAGTTTTTGAAAAGTGAACACTTTCAACCGTCCCCTGGAACTTTCCTGGACGTTCTGTGAATAGTAAACAGTAATGAAAGACACTGTAAAAGAGTCCCGCAATTTCTGATGAAGCATCGGATGTGGGAAAGGGGCTTGGACAAGACGCTACTCATAAGCTACATCAGTAATATATACTGTTACACTGGTAGCAATAAACCCATGTGACCTTTGCTGTTTCGACCGACTAGCTTATCTTGTCGTACGGTTCTGATGAGGTGAACAAGTGAAATACAAGTGAAATCTTGAAGGGGTTTCGGATGCTAACCCGTAATTCTAACTAGACGAGAGAGGCAAGTGTGTGAGAGAACGTGTGTGGGCCCAGTCTTGAGACAGATCTATGCTCTAATTCACTTGCAAGAGAACCTGGGCCACCGCAGGCCCTGGACCAATAGTGTGTACGGACCATCGTCGAGGCCTTTCAAAAAAAAGGTTGCTAAACTTTGGGACCTACCACCAAACATGATGTCACCGCCTAATGAACGCCAAATGTCGACTATGTTTGAAAGAATGAATTTCTATCCAGGGCAGTTGACATTTTTGATCCTGCACGATGCCGAACCGAAATGACACTAATGGCTGGAGACTCAGGTGTGCAAGAGTTGGGCAGCAGCTGTTTCCGACGCAAACGGACAGAGGACGGAAACTGAAAAGATGGATTTCGATTGGTAGAGTCATTTTGATAGCGCAAATGATGGACCGAAACCTTCATGAATTATGAGATACTGTAAAAAAAAATTGTCACCATATCGATAACATAACGTCCGTGTGTTCAACACTGATAATTCTCTGCCGAAAAACCATGATTTATTCAAAAGCCTTGTTTTGAAGAAAAAAAAGTGAATGGGATTTGGTGCTATCCTACCACAATCATTCAGAGGTGCACACACCTCCAGACAATCATCTAGGCAACCAGGCGACATCGCGCGTTGTAACTCATCGCAGCTGAACTCAAGTAGAAAGAACAAAGAAGCGTCAGGATAGAAAGGCTACCAGGTTGAGACATGTGAAAGGAGACGCTTACCAACTCGGGCGGTACCCTTACATCGGTCGTCATGTACTGGTTGACTTCATCGCGTAAACGCGTCTCAATCGATTCCGCCTGTTGAATTAACATTTCGATGGCAGCCAACCGAGCGCACAAGCTCGAGGTAGCCTCATCACCTTCATCCGCGCTGTTGTCATAGGGTGACGCTGCTGGTAGCTTTGACCGATTCTCCGTGGAGTCTTCAGAAGGAGGGGTCGTCGAATGTGACCTGTTTTCAAATTCCGTGCCATTTTCGTTGAGTTCCTTAGCCGTGTGCACTTGCTCACGAACAAGGCGGTTCGCCAGGCGAAATGACAGTGCAGCGCTGAAATGAAAAGTTGAGAACTCAAAGCATCAGAGTAGAAACAATCAATAGGAGAATAGTGGAGCCATTCGAACGGGGTGATGACCGTGTAGGAAAATTGAACTGCCACAGAATCGCTCAGCTACGGCACCATTCCGGTGTCTAGCTGCCATGCTACCCGAAGGAAGCACAAGGGCTTGGATACAGCCGGGTTGCCTAAGCCTAGACAGGTAAAGTCGAGAGGCAGAGATCGAGTTCGAACCACAGACAGAGGGAGAATATGGATCAGGAGATCGTCGATTACTCATCAGTCTAACCGGCGAAGTACGAATGAAAAAATATCAAATTTCTTGAAAATAAAACAGAGTAAGTGGTTGAACTTTTGGGGTTGTAGTATAGAAAGGGGAGAGCTTGCCATGAAAGTGTTGGTGAATAAACGAATTGAAACGTACTCGAGTTATGGGACACATTTAAAGATCGTGAAGAACGGGAATCCTTAGAATAGCAAAACACAGACCAAAAAACATGGTCTCATGAAAAAACGGTGCCAATCGGCAATACCACGGTGACCAAATAAGGTCGAGGTCAGCATGATGATTACAGAAGTGGAAAGATAAAATTTTGAGAACCACTCACTGTCTTGATCGCAATTTCTTAGCACCTTGCTGCACTTCTTCTAACTGAGTTGTGACCAGCAGGAGTGAAGCATTGGTGGGAAGGTCTGACAATGTTGCGGACGATAACGGGCATTGCGTACTCCGATCAACCCCACTAAACGTATGCATACGTTTCACAGTCGGTTTGGTCGACTTAGATTGGAATTGATTTCTTCTCGACGCAGCAGTGCCATTTTCGGTCTTTGCAACAGTCCCAACAACCTGGAATTGTGAAATGAACAGCTATACAATCATAAAAAATAAATAACCGCTCAGCTGTAACATCCTCTCCGTGCCCAGGTGACATGCCACCCGAAGGTTGCACGAGGGCTGGGATACTGCCAGGTTGCCCAAGCCTAGACAGGGGAAGTCCAGAGGCAGAGGTCGGGTTCGAACCATGGACCTTCCGGTCAGTAGATTCGCGCTCTAGCCACTTGGGCCATCTCACCTCTGAATAGCTATCAGGTATCGGGATTTGGCGGCACATATCGGGTAAGTTGTACCCAAAAAAACTGAAAAACTTTACAAACTATGTATTTTGGGGAGTCAAACCGATAGCGTCATACCGATTTGCACCAGACACGTGGTTATCGCTCAAGTAAAGAGTCAAATCTAAAAGGCATTTGTTAACTCGAATATCCATTTTCAGGACCACCTCAAGTCGGATTGAATGGATCCACACACACACATCGAATTTTGTCGTTTGTGCAAACGTACATTGCTAGGTGTGCAGGGGGCGAGATGGTCTAAGTGGTTATAGCGCGGATTTACTGACCGGAAGGTCCTTGGTTCGAACCCGACCTCTACCTCTCGACTTCCCTTGTCTAGGCTTGGGCAACCTGGCAGTATCCCAGCCTCCGCAGCTAGGCACCGGAAGGGTGCTACAGCTGAACAACGAGTGCAGCCATTATGTTCATGGAAAGCACGACAACAGGATTAGGCGGCAGAAACGGTAGACATCGCGATAAAGCGACAGAATAATGAGACCAACTGTTTTTTCCATAAGTATATTGTTTCTAGTCAACATAATGGAGAAAAATTCCACAAGAGGAGTGTCCAACAGAAGAAAATCAGAACGGACAAACTGCATGGTACAGTAAAAAGCGGAAAGAAGCACCCCATCGAGTGCGCTTCGATAATGACTTCTGTCAAGAAAAAATCGCTCAGCTTTAACACCCTAGCTGCCATGCCACCGGAAGGAAGATCGAGGGCTGGGATACTGCCGGGTTGCCCAAGCCTAGACAGGGGAAGTCGAGAGGCGGAGGTCGGGTTCGAACCACGGACCTTTCGGTCAGTAAATCTGCGGTCTAACCACTTGAGCCTTCTGTCAACTTGGCTCCAAACCTCACTTTCTCATAATGTTCGTTCAGATGGCATTTTAATTTGAGCTTCTCCACTCGCGTTTCAGAGTTGACGTTTATCGCCCTGTCCACTCGGTATGTTACTACATCCTGATGGCTCTGAGTGTCCAAGCCTGTCTAGGCTTGGGCAATCAGGCAGTATCCCAGCCCTCGTGCTTCTTTCGAGGGACCTGGCACTTGGGCATCGAAAGGATGTTACAGCTGAACGAGGAACAGTTCAAATCCCGAAACAACCAAGGATATGGACTACTGATGAGCGGTACTCGAGTCCAGTGCTCCCCCTGTTTGTTGTGGACTAACCAAAAGAATTACGCCAGGACAGTAAGACGATTGTTCAAACGAGAGTAATGTGAGTGCGAAGTCAACATTCACCGTTGCTCATTCTTTCGTCCCCTCAAGTAAGAATGCGACCAGTTCGGATAAAAACGCATCAGACATTAGAAACCAGTCGTTGACCACGCCTCCTCAGAGAACGCGCAAAGCGGTAAAATTCCTGAGATACACGCAAAACAAATAGGTGCCTTGAGCTCACACAAGTTCGAGTTCAAATTCCCTGGACAGCGCTCAAGTTATACTACCACTGACAATCGAAAAATAAATTCTGGATCGACAGACCACGTGCACGAACAAGTTAGAGGCATGAGAACTGGAAGAAATTTATCAGTGTCAGTCGATAAACGTCAGTGGAATGAAGCAAAACACAATAAGTCCAGATACTTCAACGCTTGATGTTACAACACTTTACAATGTGACATAAGGATGAGACATTTGAACGCAACCGTCCACGCCAGAAGCCCCCAGAACGACCGCATGAGCAAAACGAACCCTGGCGAATTCAAGGGAGTCCATCATCCAAATAGAAGTTGATGGAACGCTAACTTTGGAGGTCAGGTGATTTTTTCTGTACATTCTGGTTCCCACAGCCGAAGAACATGCGAATTTGAAGAGGTTATGCCTGTGCACACACGACTTTCACATAGAAAGGGAGTAGCAATAATGAAGGCATGTTTAAATGGGAGCTGTAAGGACCACTGAACACGCAAGACAAGGATCACTAGCTCATACTAGCAGAAGCCAAAATTAGGGGGGGGGGAGCAACCCTACTCAATTCAAGCACATACATTAGTACGTGTATCCTGTCCATCTGAATCCCGAGGACTTGTAGGGGTCGTCCGCGACTGAGGCTTTTCATGGTTGTGATGATCGTCTGAATCGGACCCGGGAAAATCCGGTTCTTCGGTTAGAGTAGGTGGTGGTGGCCACGTGATTGCCATGGACGAGGGCCGCGTCGTCCCACCAGACCCTGAGGAGAATGAACCCGCAGTCAGCGCCACACCCGACGACGTTGCTGTTTGCGATGAAGTCGAGGACAATGAGTGATCGTTTGTTAGGGATACTAACAAGTTTGGGCGTAGGTCATCGAATGGATTGGGGCGTGAGGTGTCAGGTGGATACACGAACGGGGGTAATTCGCTACGAGGAGGCAGAGTTGCCACTGTGCGTGGATCGTTGATGGTAGGTTTGGTACCTGTCACACACGAAACACTGCGTCTAGCCGCGGCGGCATTGACCGACTTGTTGTTAAACCGTGAATCCTCAGACCACACAGGCGAGGCACTGTCTGTCCAAGCAAGGCCCGTGGGATCTAAGCAGACGAAGGGATAAGAATGTTGTTGAAAATGTACTGGGCGAAAAAGACCGGAAAAGATACGGCCATTGAGCTACATTCATCAATAGCTATGTAACCAGAACTGCAAGAGAACGATGAACACTCAGGATTTTAGAGAAAAAACGTATATACCTATTCGTTCCGCGTCGGGATCTCTTAGTTGTGCAATCAGGCTGTTGAACGCATACGCGGTTATTCCTGATTTGTCCCGCTTCTCATTACCAATTAATTAACTGTCCCCCTAAAAACCGAAACTGACGTCAACGGGGCGGATTTGTCACATGCAGGCTACGTACTAAACGAAGCCGTGATTCGATTGGTCAGAGTATCAGCCAATCTGGATCGAGGATTAGAGCCCGGTGATTCCTGCCCCATGATGATTCTAGCTTGACCTTGTGGAGCAGTTGTAACCCCTTGTTCGATTGGTCAGAGTATCAGCCAATCTGGGTCGAGGATTAGAGCCCGGTGATTCTTGCCCCATGATGATTCTAGCTTGACCATGTGGAGCAGTTGTAACCCCTTATCTCCATAAACGGCTGTCTTAGGCTACCGTGCCTTTTGATATTCCATAGTGAGCGGAGTGAGGAACCGAGGACCGATTTGAACGTTGCACCACTGGTTTGAAGTACACAACACCTGAAAACGGTTTTTAAAGGTGCTACTCTAGGCAAGCTGGTAGACACTGCATGACAAAAACCAGGCAAAGAAGCATTTGAAGTCTATGACATTCTGACCGTCATAAAGAGCTATTCCTGAGACCAAGTTTCACGGCGAAGGCCTCGGCGGAGCAGGATGATGAAATCTGACGTACAACACCTGGTGACCAGTCAACATCAGATGCTGGTCAACTGATATCGCTAGGGACTTCCGATAGGTAGCGACCGTTGGATTAGGATTGGAACGTAGTTTTTGTAGCCCGAACATGTGGTTTTAGCCTAGACATAAGAAACTCATCAGCTCTCCAAGGTAACAAGGGAATCGATGTTTACATTGTCATTTTGTGCCAATAGGTTTCCCATCCCAAACAGAAGGTAATGATAATCCTCGGGTCTACCTGAATACCGGCGTAATGGTGATACTGCTGATGGGGGAGGCATGCAAGTAGTATGTTTCCTTGTAGACTCGCCTTGCGTCTCTTGAAAAGGAAGATCTGTTTCGGAAGTTGTGGAGTCGCTTTGCTTGGATTTGAGCAAAAAATGATTTGAGTCAACGAATGTTCAGGAAAGTTCAGGAAGACGCGTTCAAGAGAGGATGGATGTTCAGTTTTTGTGAATAAGACGCCAACTAGATATTTGCTTCCCTGTCCAATAGTCTGTAACTGGGTAGTTGTCATTTTCTAATAAATAACTTCACAACGAAGGCCTTCCTCCTTTCACTGGTAGTCTTGCGGCGTTGTACGCCCTTGTCGACAGAGTGGATAGGCGAGCAATATTTTGGGCCCTTTAAGAGGAAGCTCCAAGCAGACGGGCCTCTTGGTAAGTATCCCACGCTTGACTGCTGTCACTCGCCGCAATATATCGCTTCACAAAGCGAAGTGAGTATTCATCCTCTTGTATGATCTTGGTCCTGGGTCACGGAAGGGGTCAATCGACAGGCAGGTTCTGCGTGCCCAAGTGTCCGGACAACGTTGTAGTTGTACTTCAAAGGAGTAAAGTTGCGACAATTCGTGTATTGTCCAAAGCAGCCGGGGATTTTCCGTAGAAAGTGCGTTTAAAAGACACATCTTATCTATGTGTAAGCAAAATGCCCGGATATCGCGTAAACTTGTAGGCCTCTTCCGTGCATCATCATGGTCATCGTCAACATGATGATGACGCATCGTATCGCTCAATCTTTACAACGACCGAAGTAACTTCCACGTATTGCTTGCGGGATGGACCAAGTGGTTAGAGCGCGAATTCACTGACCGGAAGGTCCGTGGTTCGAACCCGACCTCTGCCTCTCGACTTCCCCTGTCTAGGTTTGGACAACTTGGCAGTATCCCAGCCCTCGTGCCTCCTTCATGTGGCACGGCAGATGAACGATTGTTTGTGTCAGGCAAGTTTGGACAAATAATCGGTCTAGTGTCCTTCTACAATGATCATGAAAACGTTCACAAGAACCGGACACAGCGGCCTACCCTTCGCTAGTCCATCAGTCTGTTTACATGGTTGGTTGAGCAACTTAAAATTGAAATTTTCTGAGTTCTCATCATCCTCATCAAAGAATAGGCAGGCTTAAATTATATCGAACCAACCAGGCTGCATTAACAGACAATTATTCCATTTAAAGAAACGTTGGCCAGGTTGTGTTGCGGTGAATTTTTCACCGATAACGTTGAGCGGAGCGCTACCATGAATTCGCGTAGATTAGAGATGCGAAAAAGTTCACGTGTGAAGCTACAGATTGGCCACAACTGTCTTTTTTATGAATTCACTGAATGATTAGTACTTAGATGAAGAATTCTACCCTCCGATGAGTTATTGACTTCCAGTTTCGTTGTGCCGATGGGAAACTTCTCACCAAGACCACCTACAATTTCTGCCATTTTCGACCAGTATGAAGCTTCTAGCCTGGTGGAAAAAAACAATGTTCAGCTGTAACACCCTCTCCAAGCCTAGGTGATACGCCAACCGAAGCAAGCACGAGAACTAGGATACTGCAGGGTTGCTCAAGTCTAGAGAGAAGTTCAGATGCAGAGGTTGGGTTCGAACCACGGACCATCCGGTCATTAAATTCGTGCTCTCACCACTGAGCCATCTCGCCTGATGATTTCAGTTTGGAGAAAGGGGACCTTGTGGAGGAGCAAGCGTAGTGTCATCATGAAGAAGCATATCGTTTTGTACATGCGGCAGACACCGGAGGCCAACTGACACCACATCGATTTCACGTATTGATGTTGCTAGTTCACAGCCCAACGGCCGCAAGGGAAGGCAGAAGTTTGGTCCTCTGAGTGAGAATCCCGAAGTGGACAGGCTCATTTGGAGTCCAGCAACTTACTGGACAGCGAACGGGTGAAATATTTTCAGGGTTTACATAACACTGCTTCACAAGAAGAGACTGGAAAAGTAAGGGCCGTGAATGTTGGCCTCGGTTGAAGCGATTACATGACCTAGTAAATCTTTGTTACACTAAGGGGGTAGGAGTGATGACAACAACGGTCTACAGTTGTATAAAGTATGAAGATTAGCAAACGTCTGCCTGACTTTGGGACAGCTAGATTGCGAGAACGAGGTAGGCTTTCGTGTAATGAACAATATATGACGATATGAGTGAGTAAAACTCCTGGCCAACGAGTAGATCATATGTTACAGTACCTAGTTCTCAGATGACAATCAGCTCTCACCTGCAGCCAGCCGTATGCGACAACGCCCACATCAATGACTATCATCGTGAGGGACAGATTGTGGTAATTCCGACCCTTGAAATTCGCCCATCTGCTTCATCGAACATGGCTCCATCAGAGCTCATACAATTGCCGAGGCATGCGAAATTCTCCAGCGATTCTCCTTGAATTGTAAAGAGAGAGACTGCACGTTCCGGAGCGCATGGCCACATCCATCCTACCGATTCGACAGGCGCATAAGCCGACGAGCAATCGATGAATTTAACTCCTCAGTGATGCGCAAAGATTAACAGTTCAAGACAGTTCCGGTGGATTCAGTGTGCGGCACCGTCTGGGTCTAATGAACCTCAAGGCATCTCCATTCGGCCTCTTGGATGGGGACTACGAGATCCCCACTGCGTCCGGTTCGAGACGCAGAACTAAGTCATTTACCCCATCCACTTTTATCGTTTTCTTCACAATAAGGCAGCGAAGTATCAATGTTGAACACCGATGTCATGCTGTCGTAAACGCCAGAAATGAAACACCTGAGAAAATCCCGGTGCTGAACGAGACATCGGTCGTATCGTAGCTCTAAAATATTTAGCGTTCATCTGCAAACGATTTCCCGTTAACCATTGAAAGTAGACAGCTGGAATCCGCAACATTCATGAAGTCGACTGATCCTCGAGTAAGCCGCAAAAAGTGACGTAGAGGGTCGTTGGCCGTCGTTTTGACACCACCCCACAGTGTTCGAACTGCTTCAATAAGTATTTAAGTAACAATGATCGCAAAGACCAGACTTGTACTGCTTCACAAGTTGCCAAACAAGCAGAAACTGACCACAGTATCCGCAAGTCCATTCACTAAATTTTACACTACTAGAATGATTTAAGTAGACCCACACAGACGGAACAGTTGCCTAGGCACGCCGACAGGACGGCTGACGAAAACACGCGCCACAGCCGCTGTCGTTCCAACCGCATTTGAACTACCACACAACAGCGGACAAGAGAGTGGCTAATCCCAACACTGCTACGACTTCGTTTTAAAAGTCAACTCCGAATTAGGCTGCATTCCGAAATTACCACGTGGGAGAGGTGTATATTATCCGACGGAAGTCCGTGTGAAAAGAAACGAGGCGCTGCGACACAACTATCCGAAAGCTGGCAGGTATCAAAGGCGTTCGTCTTTATAAGGTTATCTCCAAGTTGTCATATACCGATGGGCTTACTTCGACACCTGAGCTGATATTCTGCAACCAACTGGGTCGTTCTCACTTATGGCCTGGTAACCACATCTTAAAGATTCCTAGCGAACCAAGGAGATTACTGCAAGCCAACCAATCCGAACTGAGAACAGTCCTTGGCGAATTTTGAGCTGATCTGTCAGGTTCACTTTGAAATTAGGCCTAAGCAACCAGCCACAAGTTGTTTCATTACATCCAATAGATACAAAGTTTACCCAATCCACTTAGCCTGGCACAAGAAACCGACCTCTAATGGTAGATGTTCGGACAAGACGGCATCTGGCATCAGCGATGAATTCCTTACAGGCGCCATAGTAGCTAGAGACCGACGAATGAGCCAACGTTACTGTCGGCTGGTTACCATTACTCGACAAATATTCGCTGTAACGGGAAACTCCCTTGAATACCAGCTGGATCCCCTGCCTACGGTATCCGTCAACTCGAAGTGCTACACAAAAGCTGGGGCATGTTTCAGTAAATAAAATAGTTGACAAACTGTGGTACATTTTCTCGAAGGATACTGTTTACCAGCTTGCTGAATACTCTCCGACAGCCCATGACCGGTTTGACCCCGCGTGAGGCTCACCACGTGGGCACCGACTCAGAGTTTTTGTCAACCTCATAGGGAAGAGCTTTCAGCAACCTTCTGAGTACCTTCCTTCAGGAAAATGACCACCTGTCAGGACGCGCCCAGATATGTAGATGCACATGTATAGAGAATGACGTATCCCCAAGGTCACCATCAGTACGACATGTTTCGGATAGATGGTGCGTTGGCGGAGCTCACCAAACACTTTGGCAACCAACGACCAGTAGAGCGGGACTGAAAATGTCCACGACCGGAACACCGTCATTGACTGTACAGAATGAACAAGTGAACGACCCTATTTGGCCCTGTGGTCATGCTATACAGAAGCTCCGTATGTTTTGTCCTGACAATACAGCCGTGTCCAGGGTTATATGTCTTCCCCTTATCGCCTAGTCTGGCAGGCTGAGTGCAGCCACCCGCAATACAACACTACCGTAATCTTCTTCAGCGATATTTAGTAGGTATGCTGTGTACTGATTCTCCTTGATGTAGTCGAATTGAACTGATACCAATGAAGACCATACCAAGTGTGTCCGAGGCGTTCGTTCAACGTTGATTGGATCGTACAAATAGCTAACAATTGTTACTAAAAACAGCAGTAACACTACTTCGGTGCATGATTACTATGCCAAGGAAGAGCTCAGATACTACGATGTTGTACAAACCTAGACAGGGTCATCGCAGAATGCTCCACAAAGCCGCGCTGGAATCTTCCAAAGCGGGTGAGAACCGTCAGCGTACGCATAATCATCATAGACAATATAACATCAGTGTTCAACACCCATGCTTCGCTGCCGTAATTGTGCGATTTATAGTTGTACTGGGGTAGGATAATGTCGAGGAGCCCACGAAGACGATTAAAGTCCTTGGCTCAGAAGCGGTGTTGGGCGGAAAATGCCAATGGATTACCATTTTTTGTGGAACAACTCATTACACATGTTCCAAGCCCCAACCTAAAGACTAAGAGACTGTATTGGTAATACCTCCGACCATTGGCATGCCTGGTACTGCACAGACATTTTCCAGTACAGAGATTCAGCTGGGTTCCGAGTGAGTCTCTCGCAAAACCAAATTTGTTTGCAAGTGAGTGTATATTCCCTAATTTCGTGCAATTTAGTTTCAAGTAAAAGGGCGAAACCGGTCGTGGGCTGTGGGGAAAAGTCAAAGGTTCAGTCCGCGAGACAATGCGTGCGAAGATGATACCCAAGATATTCATCATCATCATCATCGTTCAGCTGTAGCACCTTTTCAGTGCCTAGCTGCCATGCCACACGAAGGAGGCACGAGGGCTGGGATACTGCCAGGTCGCCCAAGCCTGGACAGCGGAAGTCGAGAGTCAAAAGTCCGGTTCGAACCACGGACCTCCCGGTCAGTAAATTCGCGCTCTAACCACTTGGGCCATCCCACCCCACCCAAAATATTGCCCATCGAACTAGTAGGGTATTCCGATAGGGTATCATCGAAAAATACAAAGATACCGCTAATTACAGTTGGTTTGAAAACGATCGCATACTACAATATAGCGCCTGCTGTTTTTCGACGTTTCAGAAGTGGGCAGGAACAATGCAGCGGTCAGACTCATTTTTCTTAATCATTCCTTTTCTTGACCTCTTCCTTAATTTCTTTTACTTTCTTGAACTCATGCGACCTTCGGCTTCCACGGCGTTCTCCTCTCGTAATCGGTTCTTTCAGAGTAGAGTGCAACGAATTGCTGTTAATGGTCATACTAACCTAAGAGCTGTTGATTCCCTGACCCCAAAGCAACAGAATTTGTGTTGATCGTCTGACCCCTCAAGTCGTTCTGTCATCCCCATGCTTGTGAATTTAGTTGCCTTCAGAACAAGCTCGTTCAGAGAGTTGACCGGATATTACACAGACTCAGTGCTGAGCTGCTAAGGTTTGTTTAAATGCTTGAGGGACTGCCCAAGTCGAGGCAAACAGTTGACAGCTAGAACCCAATCGCGCCTTACTTGGCGCGGTTGCTTCTGGTTCGTAACTCGTAACGCGTACAGGACCATGAGACTCGTCTAGTTCGACAAATTGCGTATCTCTAACCTTCTAGGGCAACCATTCTTTTCTTTTCTGCGAACCACCTGGGCTTTGTATTGCGAGTGATCAAAATTTGCTATTTTCATGGCACATAAAAAGCTTGGAAGCTCGAGATATCTCGATGGTTAAGGCGCCAATTAACGGACCGGACAGTCTATGGTTCGAAAAGGCTGCCAGGCATATCGATTGCTCCAGTCTAGGCTCGGGCAATGTGACAACATCTCAGCTCTCGTGCCTCCTTCCGTTGGCGTAGCAGCTGGGAAGCGAAAGGGTGCTACAGACGAACGACTGTCCTTTCGTCGAAAAAAAGCCTCCCTTGACCATCCACCAGCATACAAAAAGCGGGCCTTGTTAAAAATCGATTCAACTCACCATCCTGATAGAGCAGAGATATGTTAGAAGGAAAATCGACGTGGGTGGTGCTTGTCCCTTGACTTCGAAGCTGGCCTGAGAGAAGTGTGCAACCCGTGCGTGATGTAGAGGATTCCATGTCCTGCAGAAAGACGTCTCCATCGTCCAAAATCGGTCGACCATCAGGAGAAAAGGGAGCAAGTTCATCCGGATACAATCCAACAGACTGACAGCACGTAGGTTCATAATGATCCATACTACCGAGACTGGAATGACGTCTTCGGGTGGGACATGAAAGATTTTGAGGATCTCGAGGAGGCCGGTGATTGCGAGAACGTGTTTTGGCCGACCCCGTGGAAGAGTGCAGCAGTTCGGGCTGAAATAATTAAGTCGGCGGGTTTGAGTAGCCGTTTTGGTACAAAGCGTAGCGAATAGGTAAAGAGTTGTATATAAATGAAAAGTAGCCGAAATATCAAAGCTATCGGCATCACAACCCTCTGATAGCTTTTTGGTGCCCAGGTTGACGAAAGCCTAAAAGAGGAGTGAGAACTACACCAGATATAGCAACTCCAGGCAAGCGTCACGGGGTAAGTTGAATGTGTACGAAGTCCACTAAGCTATCCAACAAAGTATCCCCTCTCAAACGAGCTAGTCCAAGTGCGTGTGCTATTTTAGTGGAAACTTTATAAGTGAAGCTACTCTCTTCCGCATGCCGAGAAGCGTTCACAGTGGGGCTGTTTCATCCTAACTAGGAAGAATATTACCCTCGCTGTGAGCTAGACTACTAACAATCCATAAGTAGCTCAGAGAAATAATTCCACAAGAGAGAAACCGTCTTTTGAGGGGCCGTCAGTATGTGAAGGATGAGTGACGCTATGTCCTGTCTGAGTGAGGGTTAATCACACTGCCGATCGTGATCAAACGGTGAGGAATCAGCTCCCTACTGGCGTTTCGATTCCCAGTAAGGATGAACAACTGTACAGTGCCTCTCAGGTTTTCAAAATGAGTTGGCCTCAGTGACAAGACGAAATTTCGACAAAATTAATCGCAACACTGGAGAATAATCAGAATAAGTGCAAAACGTTTCTGACACAGTGACCGGAAAACGCCAATCGACCCATTTGTTAGGAAAAAGGCGAGGTTAAAAAGAGGTTAGCCGAGGTGGCAGGTTTGTGTATTATGAAGACGGATATGCGTGTGACTTCTGGGAAGGTTCTTGCAGGCAAGAGATTAATAACCAGGTGACAACTAGATGGAGGGAAGACATTGAAAACCTTAGGGCGAAGGTTAACTGGCACACCGCCTGGATAATATATGCCGAGAATCCCTTATTGGTGGTAAGGCTGACAAAAAATGCAGCGAAAAAAGTTAGAGTATAAACCGACGCGCATGTCGTTTTTCTGAACACTTTCAGCAAAAGTACCACCAGAGCTGCACAACGTGTAGTAAACACCCAAAATCACGTCAAAAACACATGTACAGCGCGCGTTCTTCAAGTGTATCAGGCGACAACATTCCGGAAATTCCAGCGTCTTCTGGAGACAGCATCCGGCGGATACTGAATTATGATTGGCTGTTGGATCTACACTCGACCAATCACAGCTCATCACTATGTTGGACTGACAAGCGGTCCAAATTTTGACCAGTCGCGTGCGGATTGTGCTTCTCGGACGTAGAAGCGCCTAACTGTAAGCGCCAGAGTGGTTTTGGTGCGGGATTCCGCACACGAGGTTGGTCCCCACAAAAAGACACTTGGTACAATTTGACCAAGTTCTCAAAATCACCATTTTTGGAGGAGACGAGGATAATGCGCTAGAAGAACTATCAGGGAACTTCAAAGGACTTCAGCAACTCAGATTCAGTGGGATTTCACATTATTGAGCTGAAAATTCATACAAAATTTACTTTGAAAAATGGAAGGAATGTTACCCGAGGTTCCAGAAACCGTTAGAAAGAACTGATACACCTTATCATAACTACCGTTTTCGTTTACCGATCTAGAATAACGGAGGAATGTAGCCAGAAAGCAACTTCGTCAAATATCTGGAGTCGAAAAAATTGACGCAGGATCTTAATATACCACCCGGCATCAAGCACAGCTTTCCCTATGAGGACGTCTTGAGGACATTTTAATTCTGTGCCAAACCAGGTTCTTCAATCCCTCCTCTTGTGTGATTATTCCCCCTCAATCTCCGATTCCCCTGGCTAACGGGAAATAAAAACCAGCTGTTAAAGTTGGTGAAGGAATTCCATCTCCGCGCAGCCTGTGGGACTGGAATATTGGACAGATCTGAGTCACACTTGATATGGGGCTGAAATGTCACTTGACATCAGGCTGAAATTACTAGCCCACACGAGTTTTCAACTCTTCGAGCGTCCTTGATCACATAAGCCTACCTTATGAGTTCCAGGAAGGGCAGAAAAGGTTGTCGAATAGTTTCCAGCAACTTTGAGTATTATGATATGTGGTGAAAGGAATAAGGCCTTTGTGTGGTTGAGTTACGCGGGATCCGATCACATATTTGTTGTGAGCAGCAGGAAATTTACTGGTTGCTCCAATACCGACCTGTCAAACGTGACTGCTCCACTCCAAATGTCATCCTAGTTTTGGAAAACTCCAATACCCATGTGTTCACCTCACAGAACGTTTTAAGAAGCAACATTACCCTGTTTCCTGCAACCCGATGCGTGGGTTTCGAAGTCTGTTCAGGTGGATGATGTAAACACAGGTTTGCAGTTTCTAATCCACACAGAATGGAGTGATGTCCTTCAAATCAGAAAAGCGGGTCACCTAACTAAAAACAGCAAGGTAGGATGCCGCTGTGAGATTGCGTGAAGGAAGGTGAAAGTATATCGGCGGAGCTGCACTTACCAATGAATTAGACTGGGCTGTAGGTGGAAAGGTTTAGATTAAAAAGTCAGCGAGCTGTCCTTCAGTAGCAAAAATGACCAACATTCAACAATACCACGTACCTCCGAGTTCACGACAGGGGAAAAGGCACAGTCATCAGGTGTTAGACTTGAAGACGCATGACTACTGGTTATAGTGCCAGTTACGGACTCAGCACCACTCGGACCAACCGAAGGCAACGGGGGAAGAGGTTGGGCTAAAAGTCTTCGGCTCGGTGGGGGAACACACCATCGATCGGTTTGGTCGCCAGAGTAGCTCTCAACGGACATATCGGCAGAGGAGATTAAGTCATGACAGCTTTGCTGCAGTGCCCTAAGATTCCGAGGATAGAAACAAGGAGTTCCTAGAGGATTGGCCGAATAGGAGGATGAATTCCGTCGACATTTGTATCCGAGTGCTTTGGAATCCAACATCGAGCTGGTATCCTGTGCAGGGCAAACTTCATCGTATATGGTCATAGAGTTGATGTCCACTTGCGAAACTGACTGATCCATGGACAGTCCACCACGTCCGGTGTTATTCCGGCGAATCAAGTGGTTACCCAAGACAAGGGGAACACTTTCACACGGTTCCGAATAAGTATATCCAGGAGAATCGTAGGTGGCCTGAGGTGAGTCTGAGGAAGAACAGTGCACCGGGTCCTTCTGTCCTGGTCGGTCAAACGACGCTATTGTTCGAGAAATAAAGACAATTTTCAAATCAAAACGTCTTGCTTAAAGAAAGAAGGTTGTGTGTTTGCCGGAATCAAGACTAATCAGCATGGTTTAACCTTGTGAGGGGAAAAGCACTGGGCTAAAAAATCCTCTGAATACTTCAAAAAAGGCTGGCTCTGTTCTGTTCAACTATGTGCATGTTACACTGTTCACGTCGGATTTACCTCGGTGACCGATTCGAACCGCCTAGTACGAAATTGTACCACGTTCTACATGATACGATTGTCAAACCAGACCGATTTTTTTCAACTAACAGGTCAGACGATAGTGAATTATGCGCACGGCTCACAAAGATGTACGTGGGCCTTCACGGGTGATTCGCGCATCACAGTGGGATGCAAATTCCCGCCTGGAGTTGAGAGAATACCCGCTAGTTTACTGGAGTTGACTCAAACATGTTATAGGGCCTTGTTGTATACGAAAGCCTGTCTGTCAATACGCCTCAATCAATCGCTCCAACCCAGGGGGCAATATGCCTGACTGCACACCAACGTCGAAGTGGTCTATGAAGCAACATGCAGCCAGTTGTGTCAACAAATCGATCATCCTCGCACCTGTTCGACTGCTCTTGAAATGGGCTGATGGGCGCGGACAGTGGTCGCTGTATAAGACGGTAGGTCGATCGGTGTGCGTAGTTTATAAAACGCCTGCTCACATGATTTAGTAGTTGAGATCATAGGTAACCAATTAGGACCGACCACAGAGGACCTACTTGGGCAAGGAAGTTAGCCAAGGCAAGCGTCATGATTCAACCTGCATCATTGCTGGGAGAAGCACGGAATTTTGATTCCAGCAACAAAAATGGATGAATGTTACCATGGAGTTTATATCTCCTAGGTATGCTACTACAATAACAAATCAAAGGGAGGTGTTCAGGTAGATCGGGTGAGGCAGTGATGGATATGTTCTGATCTGCTTCAAGATAGCTCGGTGCGCTAACCTACTAGCCGGAATGTCCGTGGTTCGAACCTGAATCCGGCATCTCGCCTGTCCCTGTTTAAGGTTTGTTGGCCTGACAGTATTTTATCCGTCGTGCTTCATTCGGGCGGCGGGGCACCGAGGGGGTGCGACTGCATTATTTATTATATAGTGGTATTCGGTTGACGTCAACACCACAAAAGAGGAATATTGACTGAACTAAGAACTAGGTTAAATAAAACTGGAAGTGAACGTTGACTTATAGCAAGTAGACACACGAGATAAGCCAAGTGGTTAGAGCGCGAATTCACTGACCGGAAAGTCCGTGGTTCGAACCCGACCTCTGCCTCTCGACTTTCCCTGTCTAGACTTGGGCAACCTGACAGTATCCCAGCCCTCGTGCCTCCTTCGTGTGGCATGGCAGTTAGGCACCGAAAGGGTGCTACAGCTGGACGATAGACATAATTTTTCGTCAAAAAAACCCGACTGCGATGATGGATTGACCTGACGACTGACCTGATGGGTAGCATAGCAACCTGAGTTTACACTGTGAGTATTAGCTCAAAGGCTACTCAGCACACAGGCGGTCAAACTGACATTCGTGACTTTTCGACAGTCCAAAGTCGTTCCATGTGACATAACTGCTATTGGTTTTTCACGCATACGTACGATAAGAGCTTACATCCACTCAAAACTTGTACGTATTACGATTTTGGTTGATTCGGAAGACCACATGACTTCAGAGGAAGTGTACCTGCCTTAATGCACAATCTCAACTCAGAAAGAGAGCAAATGGACGCGAGGGGTCTTGATTTCCCTCCAACGTAGACAGGTGCAGTGAGTAAGCTGGTCTCAGCGCCTGAACCTGCGCATATTTGGTCAGAGGGGCGAGTTGGTTCAAGTGGTTAGAGCGCAAATTTACTGACCGGAAGGTCCGTGGTTCGAACCCGACCTCTGTCTCTCGACTTCCCCTGTCTAGGCTTGGGCAACCTGACGGTATCTCAGCCCTGATGCTCCCTTTGGGTGGCATGGCAGCTGGGCACCGGAAGGGTGTTACAGCTGAGCGATTTTTTTACATTTGGCAAGAAATAAAACGGAATAAAAAAATGGCTGAAATAAGCCAGTACTCACAGCTGAGTTTCGATGGATCCAACGGAATAATCCCTAGAGCTTCGATGAACCCTCGAATCCATGTTCCCATTTGTAACTTGTCTGGAGCATCGAACAAAATTGCCAAAGCACTTTGTTTCGGAACAGCCAAACGCAGAGCTGCTTTGTGGTATTTGTCCCCGGCCAAGCCGAGCTCCACCTGACCTGGTTCAAGTGTGAGAGAGAAAAAGGGCCACGCATTCGCCTGCGTGATAGACTGGTCATCCGTGGTGGGCGAGTTGAACAAACGAGCACGCGATGGTTGCTTTGTGAGTGGATAGATATCCAGACAATGGGAACGAAGACAACACCAACGATTTGTCCAGGGTACACGCCCCGGAATGGAAACGTAAGCCTCGCCTATGTATGAGTGAAACAAAGGCGTGCACACAATGAAATCGGATATCTTCTGATAGGAAACCTAGGCGAGCATGGAAGAACTGAATAATTGGACAAGTTAATAAGAACCACGAAACCAGTTGTACCCATGAGGAGTTAATCAGTGCTGCGTGGTGAAGTTTCACGGACCAGCTTGGGAAAGAAAAGAATGAGCCAACAAGGGATCAAAAGATGCGAAAACTGTGAGGGTGTGATCGGATCTCGAAAATCTCAGCCACACAGGTCTTTCCGCCGTTCTGGTGGCCAATCAGCTGGCCACACAGAAAAATGAATCACACTGTCACTTATAAGCGCCGACCAGTTTGTAAAGCTGGTTACCATGACTTTGTGCAGGATTCCAAGCCTACCCAGTTGTTGATCAATTCAGACAAGTATTATACAGCTGGCTAAGCGTGAATAGTCAGGATGTTGTATCCGATTAGTCATCGACACTCGCGGAGGACCAAACCATTCCATGCCATGGGTTTGAAATTTAACCGGATATTCAAAGTAGTGGTGTGGACAAAGTCAACAGCTGGTTTGACTAACAATCACATCTAAAGACAAATTTATCAATAGCCGACAGGCGTGTGTAGAGGAATTGTTAATCACCACGAACGCACCCCCACGATGAGTCTCAGGATTAAGAACAGGTGTGGCTGAGATTTTCGGGATCTGGCCACACCCTTGCCTACAACATACGGCCTGATAAGCAAAGCCCAAGGCCTGGTAGTTCTAAGGCCCTTGTAAATTTGGATGAAAAGTCAGATAAAATCGTTCTGCGTTGAGCAAGAGTGAACCACATTGATAATCAGGCGTTCGTGGTCGAAAGACTAATCGTTTAAACTACTAAGCGGGAGGTCAGGGGTTCCAAACTCCCCGTTGCAGTTTCGCGACATACAGAATACTGCTGATTCGTAATGAGGATGAAACATCCGTCCAAATTAGCCAAAAATTACAAGCAACACATATAAAATCAAACAGAAAAAGTGGAGGTCAGTTCACAGACGCGAAATTCAACAATTAGGAAATTGGCAGAGGCAGCAAAGATACACGACTATATTTGAAGAGGATAGACGAGTAATGCAATTGACCGTCGATTTCTCACGGCGACCAAGTTCCCCGGGACACAATAGTCGGCGGAATCAAGGAGCATTTAAAGCAGATTGCTGGATCCGCACATGTATCAACTTTCGTAAAAGCAATACACTCTCGATGAGTTCATCTCACATCAATAGATTTGACTCGTTCTCTTCGTATCAACGTATAGACGGTGGTCTATGGCTCTGAGTGAATGCATCGAATCGGTGCGGGTCAAACAGAAACCACGCTTTGGCAGAAGGAATCATGTCCTTTAGTGCGAACCTTTGTGATTCACCGACAGAAACTAAGCAGTTGCGCGCTATTCGACTGGACAGTTTTTAAAAGAAATTGAGCTTTCGTGAAGGGCCCCTAGAGATCAAACAATAATGACCAAGCACTGCAACATGGTCCCATAATTTCCGTGCCAACTTCCCATCAGGCGTGAGGCGCTTTGTCTCTAGGCTAGACATTACTCGCATGTTTCATCAGTAGTATACACCTCTCTGCAACGCTTTGACTGGTACTTTAGACCATCCATTTGTGGCACAACAAAATCTTGCTATGGGAGAATGAGTCAAAATACCACACTGTAGATAAGCAACTTTGTGTGCGCCACTGACGTGATTTCGTCTCATTTCACTGGCATACTGTTGACCACCGCTAGGGTAGATATTGTTTCGCCCCATGATTTTGCAGACTGCGATGCATCTGATGCGGTCAAGCCGTATGAAAAGAACGTCAAAACACCGCAAAGTGCCTATAACTGAGAACTGTTTATAAACGTGCGGAGGCCAGTCGCTCTAAATCACCGAACAGCATGTCGACTGGACGGATGTCGCGAGTGGGGAGCGGCGGAGTGAACGAAGACCTGTCCCATTCAGGCAGAATGTCAGCCAAACCCATTTACAGCTCGACCGCTCCGTCCTTCCGATCTGATATGAATTCCACGGTGACCCTATAAATGCAGTGGTAAAGGTCGTTGTACGTGCTTTCTTCGACAAAACCCTGACCGCACCTGAACTCATTGATTTCTGCATCTACTTTATGGATTCGATACACACCCGTAATCCTCCATGAACTCTTGACCCTTGATATATCGAATTAATTTTAGCGGACGTTTTAAACGTGTTTTTTGACCGCTTGCATTACCACGACTTGTGCGTACACGTTTGTCGCTAGTTCACATCGATCTGCTATGCAATTTCCGTGGCGTTTATAATACGCCTTAAGGTTCTCGTCGGACTTGAACGATTTGTGCAGCCATTGAGACGGAAGACCCCTAATTTAGGGTTTACGTTCCTTTCATGTGCGCATTTTTATACAAGTAGTATCGCGCCTTCTTGATAAATTTCAGGACTTCGAAATTATTGGATTGCGGATTTGCGCGTCACTGAATTGGGTTTTCCAGAACACGTCAGATATCAATTCAGCGGTCTTAAGCCCCCGAATTGGTCGAAAAAGCAAGACAAGGACTTGCACAAGAGTTGCACTACCGTCCGCAAGATGCAACAATAACTGAACGGCGATGAACTGAAGGAGCATTTACATCAGTATCAGCAAATGAGTCAGGAAACAACTGAAAGTGTGAATCGTGTAATGACCTAGCCTTCTGTTGAGGCGCAAATAAAATTTTCAACTCACCAGATACAATCACGTGACTTTCACAATCAGATCGTGAAATCCCCCGATGGTGCGGGCAGAAGCCCACGTGGGTGAGATCGACCAAAGGACCATGAATGTGTGTGGCGTTAAAAGGAACGGTTGACTGGTCCATTTTATCCCAACTACCACCGGAAGGACCGACAAACGAGCGAGGTCGCATTCGGCCGGGGGAAGGTGAGGGAAACAGAGGAGACGATTTGAGAAAAAGACCACAAGCAGATTCCAGCTGAGGCCAATCAAACCCAGATGCACAGGTTCCCGAACTCCCTGGAAGTCGAGCTGCCGCCGCAGGTGGTGGCATTTGTACAGCAGTTGTGAAAGACTTGTTGTCATCAGCAAGAAGGCTAGTGGATTCTACGTTAGTTACGGGTTGGTTTGACTCAGCAAGACCCATCGTGTTTGACGCACAGGGGCGCGACTCCATAGTACCGAATGCTTGAGGTAGAGATTTCCTGGCGCGACGCTTCGAATTCAATGATTCGACTTTGCGTTTCATCGACGACAACAAACTTTCTCGACGTGGACGAAGAGTTACGGCGGACGTCACACTGCGACATGATACTGTATCCGCTTGGACAAGGGTGGTGGACACTAGGGGGTAAGTGGACTCTACCGGTGTCTGTATCGCTTTACATGCGTTACATAATTCGTGAGGACCAACACTAGGGCTATCAGTGACGACGGTCCCAGGAATACAGGTCACTGCGGAGGATAGGCACACGTTGGAAGATGATTGACTTTTAAACACAGACGGATGGCACTGAAATGCGTGACCGCTGACTACGCCATCCGCACTGTTACCCTCACTGCCAGATGACACTGGGGCAGAGAATCCACTGTCCTCCTGAAACGAGAGAGAGAGATCAGAATTGGGAGGGGTAAACCCCGGAACAGACTTCCGTGGTATTTGAAAAAAAAGCACCCGCCAACAAGTTACCTGAATTTCCAACCCGTTTGGTAAACATCCGTTTAGATGGTCCCCATCCGGCTGAGAGGGAGAACGGATCGGAGTAGCAGGAATACATGATGGAGGTAACAGAGGAACGGAGGAGATTGAGTTTGTTATGCCCGGATGCTCAAGGAATGAGTGTATTTCCGATGGAGTAATGCCTTGTGCATACATATTGATTTGCTACGAAAAACATGAGAGAAGAAATATTGGAAATCAATTGGATCAGAATATGCTCGACCACACGACCCCATATTGCAAAATAGTGAAGAACGCGCTTGAATTGCTATCTGGTCGGTAAAGGAAAACAATTATCGGAAAATAATTACTTCATCGATGGAGTATTTCGCTCATCAGCACTTACCCCAGACATCTGATTACCTCGAGTCAGCTAAAGTGGTCACCTTTTCGTAACCGTGGATACGATACCAACTAAATAACCCAGGTCAATGCCATCGAATTTGTCCCACTTAAAGGAAACACTCGTCGGGTAATTGTAGCGAAATTAATCAGACTTTGGGAGTTGTCAGCATAAAAGAGTAAAACACGATCGTTTAGCTGTAACATCCTTGCATTGCCTAGCTGCCGTGCCACCCGATGGAAGCATGAGGGAGGATATACTGTCAGGTTGCCTAAGCCTATACAGGAGATATACAGTCGAGATACCGTGGCTGGATTAGAACCAAAGTTATTGACGGAAATGTCCTTAGCTCAGTGGTTAGAGCGCGAAGTTGGTCACCGGAAGGTTCGTGCTTCGAACCAGACCTCTGCCTCTAGGCTTTCCCAGTCTAGGCTTGGGAAACCTGGTAGTAACCCAGCCTTCGTGCTTCCTTCAGGAGGCATGGTAACTAGGTACCGAAAGGGTGCTACAGGTGAGCGGTTTGAGGTATTCTTAGTCAGCCATCTCGAGCTCATTTGAGCATAAAACTGTTTCTAACTTCCGCTGGTCACAAACTGATTATCAGTCATCCGTCTGTAACAACACAAAAGCATTCGGGTCAAGCACGTTTTGTGGACAAGCAAGCGCTTACAAATATTTAAGCACGGGAACTGAGATACTGTCAAGTTACCCAAGTCTGGACAAAAGCAGTCGAGATGCCCGAGAGCTGGATTCGAACTACGGGCCTTCCTATCGATAAGTTCGCATCTTAACCACTGATTCATCGCTTTGACCAAGAGCTTGTGGCATCATATCATGATCCATCCAGCTCCAGTACATTCGACCAATTTGAGGACCAATTTGGGAATATCACAAACGAGAGATTCAGTTGAGCCTTTCGTGAAAACCAAATTGATTTGCAAATGAGTGGATTTCTCGAAAACAGTCCAATTTGGGTTCAAGTTGACGGAAACTTGGGGACTGCGCCTGCCTGATGAGACCCACGAAGGACGGAACCGGTAGTGGACTGTTCAATAGTTTTCAGCAACCTTGTGGATAGTTTCCTTCATGAAAATTTGAGGACTAGTCGCGAAACTGTAGGGGCTATGCTATGATTAACGAAAACCTTTCGACTAGTGATTTTTCGTGTCCCGTTTTCTCTGAGAGTAAGCAGCAGTGAGGTGTAGACCGAAAGAATCCCACAGCCCATGTGCTAGCATGAATTGTTTTTGGTCAATGACAGAAACGATTCTCTTCACGAGGACCACAGCACTGGGATTCATCTGGTGCTTGCCATCAGAACAGACGTCTGAGTACAGCAAGTGGTTGGACTAAGTGAGGCCGTTATAATAGGTTCCATGCTTTAGAGTTTTGACTTGTCTTGTTCAAAGCTCAATTCGGCAGAAGCTGTGGCAGCTGATGCCAATCTAGACCTTGCACCCGATTTATATCAGACGAGGAGGATGATACTGGTTACGACAATGGAGATGAACCAGTGGAGTTTGTGTTCACTTCTACAACTGACGGAAAACATGTGGTGTAGCACCAAGACCACCTCGTGTGCGGTCAAAATTCACCGTCTGGTTCGCCCAAACTTCCTAGGGTTGAACCAAGTAGCCCCGCTCGGGCACCGTTTGCCAATCTACGCATGAGGGGATTGTGGTGAACAACTTGAAAAGGAGGAATCAGAATGAATGGTTTGAAATGCGAACCTCCCTGGTCACAGTTCTCTATGGTTAGACCAATTATCTCATGAGTTGTGAACATAGCAATCAGAGCAAAGTGGTATCTAATCATAAAGGAAACTACTCACAAGGTTGCTGAAAACTCTCCGACAGCCCACGATCGGTTTCGCCTTTCTTGGGACCGGCCCATCAGGTAGGCGCAGTCCCCAAGTTTCCGTCAACCTTATGACCTACTTGAACCCAAATTGCACTGTTTTCGAGAAATACACTCATTTGCAAATCAATTTGGTTTTCATGAGAGACTCAACTGATATTCTACAACTGCACACAGGTCGCCTCATGTTTCAGTTGGCACGATATTCGAGATATCGCAGTATATTTTCATAATCAATTGGAAAAGGTTTGGAACCGATTGAGAAGTCATCGTTTCAGAAGAGCTTGGTAAACAATCGGTAGTTTTTTTTTATTTGGGCAACGTTTCGCTTTTGACACAAAAGCTTCATCAGGCCAAGTGAGCAGGTCATCAAATTGGCCAGGTTATAAGACGGACGGGGAACCAATCAGTAAGTCAATCCTCTTCAGATTATCACACTGGACCAGTGTTTAGTGTCAACTAACGGCTCTTGTCGGTTAGTGTGGTTGTCAAAATCTTGCGTTAGTGGATTGGGGGTGGTATCTAAACCAGAATCTGTTGTCTACAGTTCCGCCCATGGCACATCAAACTTGCTTCAAAGGCATGGATGCTTCAGGGGCTGTCTTGTAGGTAAGCCCCAAGAAACCAGGCTAGTTACTTGTAGCCGTGTACGGTTGCTAGTGCTTGGGCATTTCTGAGAGCTGGCGGGCACGCAAGTTATCCAGAGGAAAAGGAGTCAGATAGTGCGGGCGGAATGTACAGACTAATGTGTGTGTAACGATTTGGTCACTGACGCATCACTGCATGCGAGAGAAATGGATGTCTGTGGACGAGGCCAAGACTAGAGAATCACCTGTTTCGTGTGGTGGTACGCTCAAAGGACTATTAAGTCCCAATCACAACATGAACCCCACCTGGGCTTGTCTCCCACGTCTGCGGCATGTGGACAGTGGGCAAGAAAATGCAAACAAAGGTGGGTGAATCGTGATAGGCCCCGAGTCGTGTTTGCGTGTATCCGTCCGCTAAAAATGCATAAGTTATGGCCGTGCATGTACCACACAGGATAAGACAACCGGAATCGATTATCTCTGGCAGAAGCGACGGAGAAATCCGATTGTGTATGGAGCTTGCGAATCAAGATGGCAAGCTCAAAAAAACAGAGAAGCAGTGCAAAAAGATGGTAGCTAGGCGCCCTCCAAATGCCTCGATTTTAGCAATATTGTATTAAACCGTAAGGACGTGTGATAAGCATTCAGTGTGGGAAATCAGCTGATCAAGACCTGCTGATGTCGTTTGCCTGGACGGAAACCCGGTTCGTACCGCGAGAGATGGTGAGCCAAGTGTGACAAAATCCACTTCATTTATTGTACAGTGCGGTCAGCATCAGGGCTTGCCCATCCCATCATTTGGGTTCATTCTTTCGCCTTCTGATTCTCAGTTTCAACGACAGAATCAACTGACTTCCACATATCATCACCATGATCGTTGACAGCAATAGGCCACGCTGAAAATTACATGTCGTACAGCCATGAGAGAAGACTTACTAAAGAAGAGAAAAAGGAAGGGTACGGATGTAATACACTACTCATGAAGACGCTGAAAACACTGGGACAGTTCACGATCGGTTTCGTCCCTCTGGGGGCTCATCAGGTAGGCTCAGCACCCGAGTTCCTGTCAACCTGATGTTCTACTTGAACTCAAATTGCACGAAATTAGCGAAATAGACTCATTTGCGAAGAAGCGCTATGTCCCCACAAGGGCTGGGATACGGCCAGGTTGCCAAAGCTCAGACAGGAGAAGTCGGATTCGAACCACGGACCTTTCGTTCAGTAAATCTGCGCTCTAATCACTGATCCATCTCGTCTTTACAGGAAACAATCAAGGACAAGGTGTCCATGTTTTTTTTTGGAAGCGCTGAAATTAACACATCTCAGAATCATGTGAAATCAATACGCCAACAGCGGGGTCATTTGTGAACCTCTACCGACCTAAGCACGGCGCACGAAAACAGGCGAACTTTAGCTAAGCGGTCTGACCGGGGAATGACATCATGGGGTCATCACTAGGATCGGTTGCGTGCCATGCCCTGCAGGGTTCCCAACCGCATGCAAGCAGAAACATGTGGGTCCCCGTTAGGGAAACGCCACCGACCTCAGCTCGATAGTAGTACACGTTCCAGCCACCTCGAGCTGGTGAGTTTAATCTGCCTTTCTAACGAGTCCGATTCAGTACCGAGTACCTGTTTACGCACCATGTGCTTGCGGAATCGGTGCAGCTATCTGGGCTAAAGAGACACTGGTGATCCAACACTTGAGGTCCTCGGATCGGAGATAGCCTAGCGCGAATTTACTTACCAGAAGGTTCGGCAACCTGGCAGTATCCCTCGTGTTCCTTTTAATTGACATGGCAGCTAAGCGCCGAAAGGGTGGAGGGATCACGTCTCAAAACCATGCAGTCGGACCGTGCTTACATTTGCCTCCCAAACACGGTCCGTTGCTTCAACGAAATTCGGTTCTGGGGGCCGGTTAGCGAACGTTGCTCCACTGGCGAACGCACTTCACACAAGCTTCAGTCAAAAACCTAGTAACTGGCGTATGGCTAACGAATTGGCTCGACGCTGTTCACCTTTGCTCACTCAGAAACATACGCGTTCTAATATTTACTAGGGTCTCCGTTTCCTGGGTGGGTGGGGGAATATACCGGCGCTGAAAGCAGGAATCGCAAAAAACATATTATCATCATCATCGACAGCATGACATCAGTGTTCAACACCGATGCTTCACTGCCGTACACCAACCCACACGAGCTATGGTTCTGAGAAAACGATTTCCGAACACCTGAAGAAGTCTTAGTTCCGCTGCTCGAATAGGCCAAGTCTCACAGCCACACAACAAAACAGCCCGTACTGTAGAAGGTTGATACACACGTCCCTTCAGATTCAGGGATAAACCATTCTGACGCCATAGGTGTCTCAAATTAGCAAACGCGGCCCGAGCCTTGCAGATTCGTGCATTCACCTCATCTGTCACACTACAATCAGGACTAATACAACTTCCGAGATACGTAAACAAAACATAACACATTGAAGACTAACTTTAATCCACATCAGTGCTTGCGCTTCTGTGTCCGCGGCCAAGACAGTGGTCCCCCGAGTGGGATGAGCGATTTTGATAACAAAATCCATGCCACTGTCGCGTCCGGCATAGACACCTGTGGCTCCACAAAGAAATATGACCAGACTAGGATTCATGGCATTTCCCGACTTGTAAGCAATCAGTCGCGATCCGCTGGCCAGCAGACACATGTTCAATCTGGTCCATTTGTTCGGCTTGTAGCGGTGATGCAACGAACCAATCAGAGTCCAAGGTGAGTCCATGAAAGCACTGAATCGTCGAGTCTGTGTGGTGAGGCATTTTTTGGGCAATCTGTGGGAAGAGGAAAACAAACAAAACCAATCTCTCACGAGAAGCAAATTTTTTTATATGGAAATAAGTGTATTTGTCGAATCTTGTGCAATTTGGATTCCAGTAGAACAAAAGGATGATGGAAACTCCGGAACTGTGTCTACCGGATGAGCCCCAAGAGTTTCCTGCGACCTATGAGTAGTTCCTTTTATGAAAACTGTGAACCTCAGAACCGCCGTCCCATCAGTATAGTGACAATGGTAAACAAGCAGGACTACACTTCGAACAAAATGCATTCACATAACACTGACAGCCAGCGAATAACAAAATGCGTCCGACCGGGAAACGACGTAACGCCGAGTCATGGGAGCACGCTAATACAGAGTATGAACTGAAACGCGTGCGGGTACGTTTTTGCGTCTTAGTACCACGGATACGACTGAAAAGCACAGACACGGACAAGAGACACGAAAACACTCGACAAAGAAGACATCATCATCACTGTCAGCTGTAATAACCGTACAGTGGTTGTAGTTGCCACAGTTTCGTTCACCGATGGTTTGGGGAGGTGGTGTAGATAACTGCGCATTGGAGGCGGAAGCTGATAAACTGGTGTGTAAAAACAGCACTGTCAGCGGACTGTCAAGTGGAGGGATTGGGAAGGGAGCTATGCATTGCAGGCAGTAGCTTGGATGCATGAGCGCCATTGAGGGCTCGACTGGGCCGTGTCTTTCTAACCCTTGATATGGCACGTCTCGGGGTCCCCATCCAGGAAGACAGCAATGACCAGAGCAGCTAAGTATGCTAGTAATGGCTTTTATACTTCGCTGCGAAGTCATTGTTTGACCGCCTCTGGCTCTCTGGGGTGTAAGCACAGCACTGACAGTGGACTTTTGAGTGGGGGAATTGGGAAGAAAGCTATGCAGTGAAGGCAAAAGCTTGGGTGCACGAGCGCCACTGACAAAAACGACGATGTGCATCGAGAGCATATGAACATAAAATTACATCACGACGTGCGAACTGAGCAAAGTAGAGACACGAGAAGGCGTCAATATAAAACAACAAAATGAAGACGATAGTAGTGAGAACATGTTTTCTCTCGAGTGTTTCATTTTAGATTGTCCCTTACGTTTGTGATCATGCCTATCAAAGATAAACGATACTGGTAAACGTATTGTAATGGCTCGCCATTAGGCCAGCCTGTTGTGGTAAGGCTGGTAACTGGGCAGTAGTCATGATAACGGTTGCAGTACATGTCCCAAGTGCACCAACGTAGTACAGCCGGGAACAGCATAAATGACAGGTTAGGATGTTGGGCGACTATCCACAATGTACCGAGCCTGGATTAGCTGTTTGCTGGAAACCTTCCGGTTAACAAACTAGAGAACAACTGCACAACATGCTGGAGACTTTCAGGTGATGTGTGAAACGAATGCCAACACCGTCATCATGGACAGTGCAGTGTTCGGGAGAACGGGCTATGTCGGGTCCTCATCAAGTAGAGAAAAACAAAGCCAGCTACTGTGGCCTATGGGGTGCTGACAGGTGTGATAAACGTATGATTCATCAAGCCGGAAGTACGTGATTCGTCAGCACGTCCATCCGTCCACTCAACCATGTCAGTATCACATGAACAACCAGGTTTTTTGTTCGGAAAACCACTGGGGCGAACTTCAGGGCCAAGAACAGCTGGCCAACTGGCTAGTGTCAGTCAGGTGAGCAAAATGCCGCGATAAAAAAAAGCCCAGTCATTTCGGCGCCAACTGCAGCTGCGCGTCTCGTTTGTCGACCAGTTTGAACCCCGGAGAAGAGCGGAACCCTATGAATAACGACCTCGCAGAGGTAGGTAACTTTGCATTCACCAGATGTGCGAATGTAAGATAACAACGGACAGAGAAAAACGTCTGAATCAAATCCAAAGACTAAAAATCGTTCAGCTGTAGCACCCTTTCGGTGGCTAGCTGCCATGCCACCCGAAAGAAGCACGAGGGTTAGGATACTGCCACGTTGCCCAAGCCTAGGCAGTGGAAATCGAGAGGCAGAGATCGGGTTCGTACCACGGACCTTCCGGCCAGTAAATTCGCGCCCTAACCACTTGGGCCATCTCGCCCCCATAAGGATAAGCTCACCTCGAAGTGGCACGTTCCTCAGCCTAGGTTTTTAAAGCATGATAAAGTGCCTGTCTCGTAAGAGATTGAATCCACTTCCATAAACGCAAACAAACGGTTCGATTGTGATCTAGGATTCCTGCTTTGTTCAACTTTCGGAGCGCGAAAGTCAAATCAGTGGACCTACAATGAAAAGTGCAGCCGATTTCGCGGAAACCTGTCTATCATATGCAGGTGATTCAATGTGCTGGGACTGGTGGGCTTGGGCCACCTGACCTCAGAAGTCCTGCTATCCGAAAAACAGCCGTCAATAAGTAGCCCGAGGAAATAAAAACTGTATTTCTGTTCCTTGTCCACCATGTGGAGAGACAGCTCAGCGATCAGGAAGCGAACATATGAGATAAACAACCGTGGTTCCAATCGAACTTCGGTATCCCGAAGGCTCCTCTCTACACTTGGGCAGCCTGAGAGTTCTCATGGTTTTCCCGGGAGGCATGGGAGTTAGGCACCAGACCCTTTGCAACGTTGGCCATCAGGATACAAATCACCGGATCTGGTGACTGCAATTAACATCGTCTTGCCAAATTCCCAACGTCTCCCCGTGGAATCTTGTACTCGCCGAACTATTCCGAATCAGATCCATCGCCGTCGCCCTTATTCACAGCAACATCAGGGGGGAACACCGGTGCTTCACTGGCGTACAACAGCACAAACCATACCTTGACTGTGTTCACCGATCACTGCATGTTGAAGCTAATGAGTCCTCTACCTTTTATTTGTTGAAGGGCGGCATGGCTCAGTGGTAGAGTGCGAACTTGCTGACCGGAAGGTCCGTGGCTCGAACCCGACCTCGGCCTCTCGACTTCTTCTGTCTAGGCTTGGGCGACCTCGTGCCTCCCTCTGGTGGCATGGCAGTGAGGCACCGAAAGAGTATTAGAGTTGAACGATTTTCTTGTTGGACACTATAATAGTAACACCCTTTAGGTGCCACCGAAAAAAGCACAAGAGTCGAAATACTGCTAGGTTGCCAAGGCCTAAACATTAACAGATACCTTAGCCCGACCCCAGCACGGAAATTTGCATTCTGGGGGACTGAAACGTCTACTACGTGAAAGAACTCCTGTCTCCTCTTGACATAGAGGATGGAGGCGTGAGAACGAGTTCACCGACCTCTTTTGCTTTAGTTTGTCTGCTTTCCAAGTTGACCACAACAGCCGTAAGCTTAAAACTCCTGACCTAATCCCAAACTGATGGCAGTAGATGTCAAAAGGTCACGTGAACAACAACGTGTGAGATAAAAAACAGTCCCTATACAGCATCAGAAAATCCTTACAATCTGGTTCACTTGGTAAATGACCCATGACCTGGTCACGGAACAGTACCGAATCATTAACCTGTCCGGTCGATTAGGTTTTCTCGACAAAAGGCTCAAGACGATTACATCACTCAAAGAGAATGATGAAACTAGTCGTATGTTGGACACGCTCCTTCTTAGGACGACTATCCTTGGCCGACCGTACGAGCAAAGATTGAATACAGACGCGTCAATTTTGGACACGAAAATGATTAAACAGTTTGATAATTGTAACACTAATACTGCTAAACAACTTTGTAAGGCCTCCGAAATGCCCGAGATAAAAGTACGGGACACCGGGAAACTCAACCGACCCAATCGGGAAAGTCACGAACACCATACAAGACCACTAGAGCTCAGAAAAATCCATAAACATCATACTGTTTAGGGGAAAAAGATAGAAAAACAACAGTAACAAGCATTCGTGTAGTGCTGAATAGGGTGAAAAGGAGAACACTCAGGTGGGTGAGTCAGTCCAGCCAGAAGAGAACAATAAAGTGTAGAACATCCGTCTTCATAAACACAGAAACTGAACACAGGTGATAGCAGCGCGTCCGGAATCATGAGTGTGGAGATAACGATCATCATCATTATCATCATCAAAGACAGCAACAACAGTGTCGGCACTGATGCTTCACTTCCGTACAACCATGAGGTTCGTCTAGGTATGTATCTAGGGGCGAGATGGCCCAAGTGGTTAGAGCACGAATTTACTGACCGGAAGGTTCGAACCCGACCTCTGCCTTTCGACTTCCCCTTTACAAATATATATAATTATATTAAAAGCCCTAGGGTGAAAAGAAGAGAAAAGAGTGGGTGAGAGTGGGGACCTAGTGCTGGCCTATGTCAAGCATTCTGAGGTGCCTACACCTCCATCCGCTCAATCAGACAATCTGGAAAGAAACTGACAGCACGAACGACACTAATAACGATTGGTCGACATTTCTTTCAACGTCTCCAGCCAAACACAGACGGGGACCCCATGCTGGAGGGCGTACAACAACGAAAACACGAACGAATTAATATGCCTTAGAAAGGATGGGCTCTGGATAGGGAAAAGACCTGATAACGTTATGGGCTGTCGCGAAGGGAAAACAAACAAACAGGTCGAAGTCTAGGGCGGCCTGTACATACGCTCACCAAGGTTTATTGGTAAAAATGTACGTGAAACCGATCGTTACTCACGCCTCATGAGAGACTCCATATGACAGTTTAGTGACTACAGGCATAAACAGTGTCTGTGTATATCAGGCGGTTTCTGGAATTTGTCGATTCCCCACGAATAGTGGGGGAATTGTAATTCCACCAGGCATTGGAAACCACTTGAAAAAGAGGGTCTCATGGAAGCTACGGACGTAGGGGTACCAGGTCACAAACCGTCTCGCTGTAACACGCTTTTCGTGCTTACCTGCCATGCTATCCGAAAGAAGCCCGAGGCCTAAACTACTGTCAGGTTGCCCAAGCAGTCAGAATGCAGAATGGTTAGGGTTCGAACCACAGACCTTTTGACCAGCAACTTGGCACTGAGCTATCTCGTGCTCACAAAGCACACAAAGAAATCGGGGGAAAAAGAAACTCACGTGAGAGCAATGTCATCCCGACTGTCTGGGGTCACAATCGGTGGGTGCAGTTGTGGCGTCTGTGGCGAAACGAAGGCTGTGCTCTGATTGGCCTGGACGATTTCTGTGAATAGAAATTAGAGTGGATGAAGTGGATGATGGAAAAAAACGGCACATGTGATTGTTACGGCTTTGGAAAACATGATGGTTCCGGTACAACTCAACATTCGAACATGAAGTTCGCATGGGTCGATCAGAACCTCACCTGAACATGACTCATCGGTGTCATTCTCGGTGCAAATGAACGTGTCAGTGTCCGAAAAACGGGGCGATTGGTGGTAGGACCGGGACAAAGAACAAACCAACCGTGTGGACAAGACGAATGAGATGTGCACAAGCGAAACTGAGACAGACACACACACGGAAAAAAAACAGCTGCACCACCATTGTCGCCACAATCATGACACCAAAATTAGGATGAACTAATTAGCGGTCGGAACGGTGTGCTGACAGGGTGCATTATTACCAAAGACAATAACATAATATGAAGTCAATGAGCCGCTTCTGTGTGTTTCGCGTAGCCCAAAAGAAAAACAAAACACGCATAGGGGTAACACGAAAGTTCTTTGGCGGAAGGATCGATCGATCGAGTCAGTGAGGAAACCGGGGGGAGGGGGGCAACCTGACAGCGGCCAATTCATAAGATGCGTCACGAGAGAAGAAAGGAGGCCGGTACAAACACTCACTCGACCAGTAGGAGTAAATTTAACATCAACAGGAAAAACGTTGCTCAGTTCCTGACCTTAGTCAGTCAGGAAGCGAAACTAGGATTTGGCACAGTTCTACTGAGTGATAATTTACCATAAAGATCGTCCAACAACGGAGGGAGCCACGTGGGCTGAAGATAATTATCCAGCTGTAACACCCTTTCGGTGCCTAGCTGCCATGCCACCCGGAGGTTGCACGAGGGCTGGCATACTGCCAGGTTTCCAAAGCCTAGACCGGGAAAATTAGAGAGCCAGAGGTCGGGTTCGAACCGTGGAGGTTGTAGTCAGTAAATTCGCGCTCTAACCACTCGGGCCATCTCGCCTCAAAGTGGTCGAAACATACAGTTGTTGGATGTTCTAGCAAACAACCGTCATCGCCCGACCCTAACCATGAACGCCAAACTAACAAGAAATATGGATAAGTAGTACCTAGACCAAACACACATTCGCGGAAAATTCACACTACTTGATACGTGTTGACTAGAGTCTCCGACAATAAGGACCTACAGTTCGCTTAGAGTTCAAGTAGTTACAAAAAAACCACACCGGTATTTGAGGATCCAGCTGACACAGTTCACAGAGAACAGTCATCAGGTTGTGAAACCGAATAACAGTTATTCGTGTCTAGCTTCAAGATAAAACTCGTCTGCCTTGGACAGGAAATTTGCCGCACCGCTGTGCGCAGTGAATGAACTACTTTCGAATTCAACGAAACCTTTGGGTGCTGTCAGTGATACTCGCCTTTCAGGATGGGGACCGCGTGATCCCCACTGAGCCACTTCATCACGTTGGCAGCTTTTGGCCGTGGAGACTGAAGGCAGTGAATGAGAACTACACATTCCCGTTTTGAACATTGGCATTATACTACTCATGGTGTCGGGGATTAGAAAGACAATAAGGGAGACCAGTCATAAACAACAAACCCACAAAAAGAATGCAGTCTCAGATCACCGAGCCGAAAATGCGGGCACGCAGAGAAGCGTTCATTCGTGAAGAGACAACACGCGGCTGTCTTTGTTTAGGAGTATTTCCACGTGTCTCTAATCATGCAAAACACCGGTCATACTTTCACGACTGGGCCGGCAGCAGCCGTTGAAACCGAATATTACAATCCAACGACGATAAAGTGTTCAGCTGTAAACCCAAGAGAATGAATCATCGACAGAACGGGACAGCGTAAAAAAGCAGCAGGCAACCAGTACCCTAGACCTAGACTGTTGGTTAGGACGTGGAAAGCTAGGAGGTGCATGCTGTGGCAGAGAGGAAATCGGCGACAAGACAGCTGTAAATAACACAAAGAGAACCAATAGATAAAACTAATTCACGAGGCTGGACTAGGTCCATGAGAACAAGAGCGGGGACAAGTGAGGGCTATGAAAAGCTTACCCAATTGAGGGGACATCGAATGTCGGCTACGCAAGTGCTGACGCAACAACGGTTGGCTGGATAGATGAGATGGGGAACCAGTCCCAGAGACACAGTCTACAACGGATCGTGGCACCTCATAATCCTCTGTAGTTTTCGAAGTTTGTAACGACAGCGCATGTTGGTGTCCTTTCGGGGGTAACGGCGGTTCGACTACTTCCGGTAGCTGAGGAGGGCTGAATAAGGACAAGGGGTTTTGTTATGGAGCAGACCAGATTTAAAGTTCAACGAGGCGTGCCCTTGAAAATGCCTCACGGGGTTGGCTGATTGGTTAGAAGCGCGGTTGGAAACGAAAAAAGACAGGAACAAGAAATGGCTACAGATATGCAGTGAGAAAACTTATGAAGAATGCCTGTGATTCCACCTCACCTGATAGCTAACCTGACCATATGTGCTTTCACACAACATCACCGTTTATAACCTTGACGGTTCTTAACCCTTTTGTTACCAGACGGTTACGAGATGGGTCAGTAGTTAGAACGCGAATTCATTGATCGGAAGTTCCGACCTCTGCCTCTCGACTTTGTCTGTCTAGGCTCCGGCAACCAGCCCTCGTGCTTCCTTCGGGTGGAATGTCAGCTAGCAACCGAAAGGGTGCCACAGCTGGACTAGTTCATTTTTTTATCAAGAAACGCCAACCAAACTTCTCAGAGTGAAGCAAAGAGCGATTACTTTGATTACAGGCGTGCATCTGATACCTGCTGTCACTAAACCAATCTACCTATACAGGATGGTAACGGCATCGCTGCTTTAAAAAAATACCTTTACGAGCAGCATCAGCACTTTTCTTTCCTGGAACGACTTTAATCACCAGAAGATGATGTAATGGAACCGTAAAAATGCACAGCCGATGGTATCACTCAAATTCGAAACTAAAAGGTGCTTGAAGCAGTCGCCACTCTGTATGACCCGGTTCGGTTGTCTAAGGCAACATATGAAAATAGACAAACTACACAGATTCCCGTCCTCGCGCCTTATGTGAAAAACGTCAGAGTGAATTTTTACGTCTTCTGTTGTGTGGTTTTTCTTCAAAGCAGAGGCAAACCGCCAATTTGAAGACACCCATGCAGATACTCTAAAGCGGGTCATCGAAAGGGCTGAACTATCCGGGACAAAGAGAACTGGTTACCTTGTGGTCCTAATGAATGTGGGGGACGTGAGTCCAAGACCTACTGAGATCGGATACACCCCGACAGATGAGGCGATGCACCAAAAAGCGGTCAACAAGAGATGGTGGGGGAGGAATAAAAGTCACCGGAACAGTCAGTTTGATACGCTAAGAGGGGCCATTGTGATTCGAGTCAACGAAATCGGAACACAGGCATGAAACTATAGACTCACACTTGCTCAGGACTATGGGACCTAACGCAGGAGTATCATTATAGACCGGGGCGAGATGGTCCAAGTGGTTAGAGCGCGAATTTACTGACCGGAAGGTCCGTGGTTCGAACCCCCGACCTCCGCCACTCGTCTTCCCCTGTCTAGGCTTGGGCAACCTGGCAGTATCCCAGCCGTCGTGCTTCCTTCGGGTCGCATGGCATGGATAGGCACCGGAAGGGTGCTACAGCTGAACGCTTTCTTTCTTTTCTTTCATTATAGACCACCGATGGGTGAGATGTACGCAGTGCCAAGAAACAAAACAACTGAAGTGATGGAGTCAACCGGACTAGGTATAATAAGAAACCAGTGTGTCGCAAAATACTTACAAAGGCTATAGTGAGCAAACCGGACATGATGAAAATTGCTAGTTAGGTTTTAAAAGAAATGGCCTTGGAATCAAGTGCCTGAATACCGGTTATTCTAAACAACCGAACATCACGCCGATTGGACGGGCATAAGGTGAACCGGCTACAGAAGGTGCCCTGATTGGTCAGCGTCCGCCAATCACGGTCGAGCTTTTATACCTCAATGCTTCTCGCACGGAGAATAGCGTGATTCTGTGAGAAGTTCAAAGATAATTCTTGCTCTCTATAAAAGGCTGTATACATTTCAAAAAGTGTTGTATACAAGTTGTCCGCTTACTGATCGAGCACTGCTATGGTAATTGGCTTTAGTCCCTTTACATTAATATATATGGACAGATATAGCAAAAGCGATTGGTTGCTTCCCTCCAAAAGGACATACCTTGATACAGCTTCCATCTACACCGTTCTATGATTAGGTGGGTCAGAGTTTAGTGTCGGCACCTGCGCAAGTGAGGTATGGCTTGAATACAACCGTAACTTATCAATAGTTCTCACGTAGACTTGGATAACCCATCATTATCACACCCCTCTGTTAGGCGGAACTCCACACGAACCCCTCTTTACCGCTCACAATCAAGTGCTGCTACGGCCGAGAAGCCCAGCCCACGAAAGACTGGCCAAGAATTCGGGACGGCTGCCGGTCCGGCATCACCCGAGATTTGATTGGTCGAAAGTCTGGACCCAAAAGCCAATCACGACCCAGTATTGGCCGAATGCCGGTCGCCAATGACGCATCCAGAACGCGTCAGAATTTCCGGAAAGTTATTGCCGCCTACACTATATATATGAAGCGCTGCACTTCGTCTCGGGCGTTGATATACCTTATGCACCCTTGGTGGTTGTTATGACGTGAACGCTAGTTTGGGAGGCTCAGACCGAGAAGTAAGCTGAGAAAATGCCGTTACAACACCTTCCGGCTAAGTCGCAGCCTGGAAAGGAACCATAGCTGGGCGAGTGGATCTAGAATTCAGATTTACATCACTCTCGTCTGAACAGTCCTCTTGTCCTGGCCAACCTCTTCTGGTGAGTCCACACCAAAGCGGAGAAACACTGGAATGTATATTCTTGGGCGTGCCGAGATTTGAACACCAGACGTCCGACAGTAGGGTCAGTAGGCCGACACAACCAGGGCAATTAATGGGCCATCGTTCAAGGCGCCGGATGAACCAATCACATCGCTCACGCATCAACAGGTTGGCTTTCCAAGATGTCCTAATTCAAGAACGTCCAGCATGTGCTGGTGGTTACACGCTTCCCCCATGTCAGAGGTCACGCATTACGTAACCCACTAATAGCAAGTTGATTTGTTTACTTGATGCTGGTGGCCCATTCACCTGGAACAGCGATTCTCAGCCGGAGCGTTGCATATTGGTTATTTCCGTGCATCATTAAATGTTGTGAATCTGCAACCTAGCTGCATGAGCAGTGCCCCGAGACACGGAAGGAATGCTCCATAGATCAGCTAAGTTTGAAGAAAGTAACAAAAAGACGAAATAACCGCCCAGTCATAAGACCTTCTGGTGCTTAGCTTCCATTGAAAAAAATAAATCTTTCAGCTGTGACAACCGGTGCCTAGCTGCCATGCCACCCGAAAGAAGCACGAGGACTGGGATACTGCCAGGTTGCCCAAGCCTAGACAGGAAATTCGAGAGGTAGAGGTCGGGTTCGAACCACGGACCTTATGGTCAGTAAATTCGCGATTTAACCACTTGAGCCATCTCGCCCCATACCACCCGAAGGAACCACAACGGGCCAGGTACTGCAAGATAGACCAAAACTAGACAAGAGCAGCTGAGATACCGCAGTTGGATTCGAACCACGGACCAGTAATTTTGCGCCCTAACCTCTGAGCTGACTCAATTTCGAAAAAAAGTTAGATTCCTGTAGTTAGAAATGTCACTGACAATATCAGCGTTTGAAATGTTCAATTTGCAAAAAAAACACCGTATCCAAAGAACAGATGAGGCGTCTACAGTTGGCTTTTCCAGAACGTTCCAGCAGGAATAGCACATTCTGCAGCGCAGCTTAAAACCGTGATTTATGCCACCAAACAATGTGTGGAAAAAACAACTGTCACAGAAGCAAACATGCTCGGAGCCCTTATATCATGCTGTTACGAAATGCATAACACTATAGATGGTTTAGTTTCCGAATGGATGGATGTTATTCCAAAGCCACCGCAGGCATACCTACCGCACAGAACGATGAATATTCCATTAGTTCAAGTTTCGTTTAGTTGATAGGCTCGCTGGCATATGTACAAGTGAACCGTTGTAGTCTTCACCTGTTGTGTTGTGTTCTTGACCAGAAAGTGGAACAAACGGGGGGAAAATGTTGGAGAATAACCCAAACAACTGGATAGCAACCAAGGAAAGATGCTACTCGCCTTTCCAGGATGAGGATCACGTGATCCCTACTACGCCTCGTTGTAGGGGCTGCAAGATATGGCTGCCAATCGATGTCACTGGCGTTCTTGTTGTCAGTTTCTATCCAGATTGCCTGGAGGAGTGTCTGCAGGTGTAGACACCTTGGAATGATTGTAGTAAGCTAGCACTAAGCCCCTTCCTCGTCCGCCTTTATTCCTTTCTTCATAATAAGGACTTCGACTAAATCATGCTTGTAAGACAGCGAGTTTCCGATTAGTAAGTTCGCTCCTGAACCACTGAACCACCTCGTGCATAAGTAAAAACATCGCTAGGCATCTGAATGACCACACAAATTTCAGAGGCAAGCGGCTTCAAGGGACTTAATTTACTAGAAATCGGATTTGAGTAGCTACACCGGCCGTTTATATGGACAAACACAGGATGGTCGCATTGCTCGGGAAAGACGAGGGCGGCTCTGCCTGTAGCTAAAGCAAAGATGGAGCTACATGAAATGGGGTGTACACTGGACACAATTACAAGGTACATGGTGTCACCCAGATAAACTCGCACACATCAACAGAACGCTCAGTCTAAATGGGTGCAGAGGCGGAAGAAGGCTGAACAGAAAAAAGTAAGTCAGCAATACACTACCTTTAGTCAATTAGAGCGTGAACTAAGTAAGACCCATGATTCTATTCTGCTACTCTATGCATTAAGCGTCCAAACCACATGGGAAGACATAAACTTTACAACCGTCGGCCTCATGCAGGACGCCAATATGGGTAATTGTGGTTAGATCAAGCATGTCCGGAGCAGAAACGCGATTGTATCACCACCATCCGAAGGAACATAGGTGGTGTGCCCAGAAACACCGCCCGGGTACAAGGGCGGACGATAAAAGTGTGTATGAGTCACCGCACTAAAATGACGAGTTTGTGAATCAACGTGTATCAGGTAAGCAATAAGAGTAAAACATAGTGATAGTAAGACCAGACGGTATGAATTGCCTTCAGAACGGTTCCAATAGGCGACAAGACAGATAATGAAGAGGGTGTAGCCAGTCACTGTGGTAAAAAAAAATGCTTCGGCTAGTGCCCAGCTGCAACTCCAGCCGAAGGAAGCATGGGGGCCTAAATACTGCCACGTTGCCCAGGCCTATATAGAAGCGGTTGAGGTGCAGAGGTCGCGTTCGAACCAAGGACCTTCCGGTTGACAAACTGAGACACCTCGTCTGCATCACTGTCGTGCAACAGCAGCGTGAATGAAGCCGTCAGTCAATCGGAGAATTTTCTTGGGGAGGGAAAATGAGAAACTGAGGTTGGTAAAACTTCTTCAGCGTTGTAGCCACACCAATCTCGGCTGAACGATCGCCCTCCTGTCCTACCGTGGTTATTTCGTTTAGTTCACAACAACAGGGGGCTGGAACCCTGGACCGGAGTTTTCACCCAGTTGGAGCTCATCAGTAGCACATATAATACACAGTGTCGGGATTCGCAGGTATCCCGTTTTCGCCAGAAACTCTTGCGCTTCGTAATTCGGTAATCGATTTCGAAAGCTCGTCTTTCGTAGATGGGTTGGAAAGACCCATTTTCAAAGGCGATTGAGATAACTGTGCGAAGCAGTTGAAGTCTGGGTTGAATTGGGTGTGAAGCAATGTTGAAAAGTCAACGAGCGAAAGTACCTCGCCAACTTGCTCATATTAGTGGTCCTCGTTCAGCTGTAACACCCTTCCGGTGCCTAGCTGCAACGCTACCCGAAAAAAGCACGAGGGCTGGGATACTGCCAGGTTGCCCAAGCCTAGACAGGGGAAGTCGAGAGGCGGAGGTCGGGTTCGAACCACAGACCTTTCGGTCAGTAAATTCGTGCTCTAACCACTTAATCCATCTCGCCCCCAACGCATGAAAGAGCCCAACTGAAACCTGACTGAGGAGTCTTAGTTCCATACGCGACACAAACGGAATAGGCTTATCAGAAGAGGGGTAACTTGAAAATAGCAGCGTTCGGAGTTACAACACGAGGAAACAACTGCTCTGACGGGGATAGTTCGTCTGACGATAGACTTGCTATAGTCTACTAAGTGATGTCCGAATACCAAAGATAACCAGTCAACTGTAACACCCTTTCGGTGCCTAGCTGCCATGCCACCTGAAGAAAGCACGAGGGCTGAGATACTACCAGGTTGCCCAAGCCTAGACAGGGGAAGTCGGGAGGCAGAGGTCGGGTTTGAACCACGAACCTTCCGGTCAGTAAATAAGCGCTCTAACCACTTGAGCCATCTGGCCCGAATAAAGATTGCTTATCTATTGAGAGGAACACAGTGCAGTCGAAAAATGAAGCCCGATTGGATGCAAAGTCTCGGTTTCAGAAACTCTCACGCTCAGAATCATTTGCGGCAGTGTAACTGGGGTCACGCACAAACAGACCAATGCGCACGAACCGCGCGGATCAGTGACTGGAATTCCACACACCATATTCAGTCCGTCGTATATTGCTACCGAGAGAAAAATCTGCACAAGGTCGAAAGTACTTCCGTGCTGGTATCATGCATGTGGACGGTGAAACCAATTACAGATTATATTCATGAACTGTTATGTGAACAAATGTCATCTAATTCACATTGGTTTGCTGTGAATGGCCCGACCGTCCTACCAACCGTGCATTCCGTTGGTCCAATCACGACAGTCACTCAAGCTAGTGAAGCAGTTCGAAAAGGCGTTTGGTTTAAACAGAAAAAAGTATGGTAAATTGGAACGTGTAACGTTATCACTGCACGTGGACAGCATTGGTACACCATGATGAAAAACCCACATCATCGTCGGCGTTGACGTAACCATGGACGCAGATCGCAGTGATGGAGCAGCAACACGAAAAGCAGTTCAGCGGCACCATGACCGGAACTGCACAACACCACTTGTGCACTTACACACTAGTGGAAAAGCCTGTCAGTTGCCAATCCATAAAATGAGAAAAATGGTTCTGCTGTAACACCATTTAGGTGCCTAGCTGCCACGACAGACGAAGGAAGCATGAGGGCTGAGATACTGCCAGATTTCCCAAGCCTAGACAGCAGAAGTCGAGAGGTTGAGGTCCGGTTCGAACTACGGACCCCCCGGTCAGCAATTCGCGCTCTAACCACTAAGCCATCTGTCCCCTGAACAGCCGCATCACTACTAAGGCCGGTTTTCCATTTCCGTCCAACCAAAGAAGAGAAAACAAAGAGAGACCTTGGGTTCCCGAGAATTTTCATGGAAACAGTGGGCTAGCATTCGTTTGCAGATATGCCCACGTGCAGGGTTCAGTGCCACATCGAACCAGCTGACCACTCAATGTTCAGTATAAACTCGGGGATGTTCGATCAGAGAATAAACGAGGAGGGTTCTCAAGCCAAACTGACGGCCTACTATCAGGAATTAACACCACATTTGGATGGGTATCGCGCATCACTTATGAGACGTCCGAGGCACACATGTGGTTAGGCAGTAGTCAGTTTGGTCCGTCCAACATTAACACTTCGGAATGTACAAATTGCTAAGATATCGTTTGTGAAAAAAAAAACATCGAAAATAAAACAGTACTGCACAAAACGGAATCCAGTACAAGACAGCACGATATCTTCGTGAAGGTACCGATAAACAACCAAGAGACAAACCGGGGGGCTTGGTGTGACAAAACCACAAAACTGTCCAATAGGTTTACCCGACGGTACTTCCCCGGGATAACGGCGAAAGTCATCAGCCACCAAACCAGTGTACCCGCAAACACACAAAAAAAAGCACAGACGCCGGTGATCAACGTCAGTGACTTAATTACGCATCGCCTATGCTCAAGCGAAATGGGAGCCACAAGTCACATTCTGTGCAGCTTGATGTAATTCTCCATTCAATTCACCTTTAAGCTGCAGGATACATGAAAAGCTAGGGCAACTAGCTAGTATTTCCCCCACCCACCCCCCGAAAAAAAAGGACAAAAAGGCCATTTTGTCAGAAAATGGCTCGCCGAAAAGAGGATCTTGAGGACATGATCCTGAGCGGGACGACAAGTAGGTTCATGGCATCATAAGAAACCAGGAAAGAGTAAAGAGGTGTAGGTAACTTGTGTATTCATGGGAGGTTGGTTTCGGGTCTCTTTCTGAGTCCCATTTGCCTTCTTTTCGTTAAACGGCTTATTCAAACAATAAAAATAATAATAATAATAGGCGTCCAGTTGTGTCTCCCTTTGGGTGCCTAGCTACCATGACGTCTGAACGAGGCACAAGGGCTGGGGTACTTTTAAGCTGCCCAAGCCTAAATAGGGGAAGTCGATAGACAGGCAGAGATCGGGTTCGAACCGCGGATCTTCTGGTTAATAAATTCGCGCTCCAACCACTTGAGCCATCTCGCCCCCTTGATCAAATATATTGTAGGGTAGTGAGTCACCCATGTTCTGGACTAGTGTTGTTGTCAACGACGACCATGAAAGTTCTCCATTTGGTTTGCTTTAGGGGCTGTATCGGTGACAAACCGCATGATGACACGAAGTATAAAGCATTAGAAGAAACTTTGGAAGTTAAGACGAAAAACGGAATAAAAGTACTTACTATCTGATGGATGCAGGGAGCGAGTACCGTTTTCTGGATGAAGAGAATAGCCTAACCACACTACTAAGAGGTCTGCGTTGGATGGAAGGAATGGGTGGCGGGTTCTCAGGAGGGGCTGGGGTGGGTCCAAGCGTGACCACATCGATGCGCTCTAGTAGAATTCGGCGTTTGTGGTCGACGGTCGGCGGTAACGGGAGGGAACCCAGATCATCACAAAGGAAAGACCGGATTGACGGAAGCAGGGCTATTATGGTGAAAGGGATGTGGAAATACGTAAGCACGGAGGATTCGGAATGACCGGCATTGATTGTTGGATTTAGAACAGTCATATTAACTACATGATATACGATACTACTTATATGATCGGAGGAAAAAATTACAGCCTGCACCAGAGATCGTCTGATTGCGTCGTGATAATTTACATGAGTTAGCATGTAAGACGTCGGCAAAATACCTGCAACTGACAGACTGCGTGCGTAGGCGGACTTCATTTACATTCACTCGACATATTTCGAGAAAACTATGGAGGCGACTGAAGCATCTCACCAACAGATCTCAATATCCAATCAACAATGCAAGGCATTTTCTGGAGGGACTAAGAGTCGTGAAAATCGAAGAAGACTGAATAATGGAGTCCTTCGATGTGGCCCCACTGTTCACATCGGTTTGTGGACTCCTGGACAACCGAAGAACCACCAAAGGAACGCCCTGGGAGAAGAAATATGCGACCTACTGGGTCTGTACTTGACAACCTACTTTGGGTTCAATCAACAACTCAAAGAAGCGCCACTGAGATCACCAATCTCTGGATTAATCGCGGAAATTACAATGCGGAAACGGGGGCAGACTGTGCTACCAGACAACAAATGAAAATGTGGTTACGATTGTTGACGACACGTTTGCGATTGTCACGAGTGAACCAACTGCTGAACAACGTATCTCCCGACATGCCCTTCATAACGGAAACGGAGAACAGATTGGTGTTCCTAGACGTGCTCGTCACAAGGACAACAGACGGCCAACCGCAAACTGAGGTATTCAGGAAAGAAACGCAAACAGACCAGATGTTGAATTAATACAACAACCACCGGAACCGTCACTAACGAAGCTGTGTTCAAACCTTATTCAAGCGGATAGGGACGCACTTCAACACGAGGAATCTCATATGGAAACAACGACCAGCCGATTTGCCAACACATTCAGAACAGAGAAGGATCACAATGCCGTGGATCAAAAACGTCGCGGAGATGACTGCAAGATACTATAGGCAACACGGAACAACAGTCGCCTTCAAGCCTTTAAACACGCTGCGACGAAGATTATCGAAACCATAGGGGAGGTTGGATGCGATGAAGATGAACGTGATCTACAAACTTCAGTGTAACGGTTGCGATAAACACTATGTTGGCCAGATTGGAAGCAAAGTTGCCAACAAAATACACGTACACAACCTTGCCAGCAGAAGGCATGACCCAACGTCACTTGTTTCAATCCATGATGACAGCGCGTGATGAGGCGCATGCCAAACAGTGAGGCGGAATTATTTAGATTATTTAATATTTTTTGCATTACCACGTGGTCAGATCCAAGAAAGGTTATGTTGTCTGAGTACCCGATATCTGTCAACGGATGCCTCGGGAGTCGAACTGCTCCCGAGGCATCAGAGGCTGATAGTGAGTTCTCTATAAGAATATCAATGACGAGGTTGATGAAAGGTGGAAGAAGACACCCTGCCTGACTCCACTTGATGCGATGAACTCAGGTGAGAGCTTCCCGTGGACCTTCATACGTCCGCGGGAGTTGGCATACGGCGCCATAAGGAGGGTCAAGAATTTATGGGGGAGGGAACCTCCGCTCCAGAGACGCTGCCATAGTGCCTGACGGTCCATAGAGTCAAGTATGAGCTGTGGTAGTTCATCGAAGGTGGGAGATGGGTATGCTTCTTGCTGACTCACAAGAGCCTGAGGGGGAACGAAATGTCAGCGGCGCACGCACCATGGCGTAATCAGAATGAAGTTGTGTGCCCAAGAAGGAACAACAGTCTTAAGTTGTAGCTCTTCATCGGTGGCTGATGGTCACGTGATCCAACTGGGTCCACAGTTGATTTGCAGCAGGTGGCCACCGGGTTATGCGACGCGAACAGCCACGATGAAAGTTAGTACTGGCCATAAACAGCTGATGATCGGTACATAATTGGATGAGTCGCTCCCCGCTGTCTGTGCGACGTTGTCGACTCCGAATAGACCTCCCAGATGTGATTCAAAGGAGCGCAGACGACTGACTTTGGCATTCATATCACGCGTCTTGCTTGTCGAATGAGCCTGGATAACTCAATAGAAAGTATCCCTCTCAGCATCAGAACTGCAGTCCATTGGGTCCTAAGCCAACACTACAAATAGGCACCACTTCTATGTCGAGCGGCGATGAGCATGTTTGAGCTAGATAACCGGACAGCGGAAAAACAACCATTCGTTGGGATCCAATCCAGTCAAGTGTTCAGCTCTGGGGCTGAGTGCAACTGGCACGCTACATATTCCACGAATCATCGCTTCAGGATCACTGGACACGTGGACGGAGGAATGTGGAAGAGCAGAGTTGGCCGTTAGTGTTTTGAGATGTATAAGCACGCTCATATGCGTGTTTAGGAGACACAGTATACATCAATTTTAGGGAGTATAAGAAAGAGAAAGCGTTCAGCTGTGGCACCCTTCAGGTGCCTAGCTGCCATGCCACCCGAAGGAAGCACGAGGGCTGGGATACTGCCAGGTTGCCCAAGCTTGCAGCAAGCGCTGCCTGTTTACCAATTAAACATAGAGTCATCATCATAATCATCGACAGCATGACATCAGTGTTCAACACCGATGCTTCACTGCCGTACAACCACGATTTATTTGAAAGGCTTGTTGTAAAAAAAGAGTAAAGGTGGACGGGGGAGGGACTTAGTGCTAGCTTACCACAATCATTCCGAGGTGCCTACGCCTCCAGATATTCACTCAGGCAATCTGGATAGAAACTGAAAACGAGAACGCCATATCTTGTAGTGTCCCCAACCAGCCGCAGTGGAGATCACGCGGTCCCCATCCTGGAAGGCGAGTAGCACCGACATCACCCAAACGTTTCGTGATCTCCTTCACACTCCTCTGCCAAGTCAAGGGTTGGCCACCTTTCTGATCACACCACTCTGAATTAGGCATGGAAAACAGCACTCTCCTCGGAAAACGATGGTTCG